TCTACGACCGACTGGTCGACAATAGCTGCGTTGCCTGAGTCATCCTCGCGGAACGACACATTTCCTAGCCACAAAATGGCGGCAAGCATGCGGAAGATGTTGTCCTGCTCAGCTTGTTGTAATCCAATAACCTTCATGGCGTTCAGTGTATCGTCGAACTCGGCGTGGTCGTCGATTCCCGGAACGTCGAAACATTTCGATTTGCTCGTGTAGAGGTAGGCTTGCGGTTGTTGTAATCCAAAGATTTCTGTGCATGTCAGAGCGAGTCTAATGTGTAGTCAGAGTGGGCGTACCTCTGTATTGTGAGGATGCGGCTTTTGTGAACTGGTAGAAGATGTGGAAGTTGCGCTCGTTCACGATCTGTCCCGTCACTCGGGTCTTCTCGAGCAGGTAGTTGTTGATGTTTGCTCCCACCGGCTCTCCTTGCGCATTGAAATGGATCTCGAGATACTTGCCGAACCGCGACGAGTTGTTGTTCCTCAGCGTCTTCGCGTTTCCAAAGGATTCGAGCAGCGGGTTGGTGGCCAGCACCATGTCCTTGATCTCCTGGATAGATGAATTGCTACCCCCCGAGACGTTGGCGATGTACTGCATAAGTCGCTTCGCGGCTTCTGTCTTTCCTGCTCCTGATTCGCCGGAGATGATGACACATTGGTTCTCCTTGTATGCGTTCATATTGTAGTAGGCGGACTCGGCGATTGCGAAGACGTGAGGGGGTACCTATGCCTCATTAGCCCTGAAAACCGGTGGACAGGTATGCACCGCACCTCCAGCCTGTTCTTGCCCTTGTAACTCTCCAGCACTTGGTCGGTGTATATACCCACTGCCGCTTGTCAGCATCCCCCTCTAAGGCGCATATCCTGTCACATACAGTCGCGGAACGGGTTGACGGAGACCAGCACGTGGCCGATGTATGTCTGCGCCCATAGTCAGTCGCTGTCCTAGTCTATCGCTGCGTGGGTGTGCGACGCGGGGCTGGCGCAAGTGGGTCGACGCACGTATATCTCGCCATTTTCGAATCGCTTCTTCAGGTTCTCGTTGATGGCCTCGTTCGAAACCTTGCTGATCAAGGTGAGATCCGATACACCGACTTCCTTCTTCTTTGTGGTTTCGAAGACGGCTTTGGTTGCGAACTGGGCCTTTGGCTGGGCGCCGCCTCCGGCCTTGCGCGCGGCGCGGTTGGTTTTCCCCTACACGTCACATGTATCAGCTTGTGTTCCTCCCTCGAAGTCTTTCTGCATCTTACCATGATTGGTGCCCGACGTCGAGCTGGGACCTGTAGCTTGAGCCGGCCAGTGGGGTAGTACGTATGCTGCGGATCTCAGGGAGCAGCGGATATGGTAATAATGGACGGCGAAGCCAGGTACAGTCGGTATGGAGAGAGCAGTCGCTCGGGGGTGTAGGGGTGTAAAGATGGCTGCAATGCGGCGGTTGTCAAGACCGGCCAACGTCAGAGCCCTGGATGGAATCGGGCGCTTCGGAGGGTACTCGCCCCATCGTCCCTGCACAGCCACAGCTATTCAAGTACGAAGTACGCGCAAGCTGCCGCCGCGGCTGGAATTTCCTCGTCATCTCCATTCACCTCCATTTCATGTCGGCCTCCACACAGCAGACTGGCATGCATGATAACGACGTTACTTCCTAAAGCGTCTGCTCTCATACTACTTCATCATTCACCGTCGCCGCTGCGAACTCATCCAGGCTCGGCCCAGTTTCCACATCAAAGTGTCGCAGTCAAGGCCTAACACAAGGACGACCCGAGTCTGCCGCGTACGCATAATTTCTCGTGACGTGTCATAGACTTAGGCATTAGGCACCAACGTTTTGATGGTCGTGACCGGATGCTCATTCAAACTAATCGCTACTAGAAAACGCCAGCAACATGCAAACCGTCGTGAATGAGTGTTCGAACAACAGCACTGCTCAGTAGCAGAGGCGACGCCGTGGAAATGCCCAAACCCCTAATAAGAATATCCCAGATCCCAAAAACGCCGTCGCTTCAAGCTCGTCATTCAATCATCATGAGAAAACATCACCACCAAAACGCCCAACGCTCGCCCAGTCCAACCGCTTGGACTCTTCTAGTTGCGGGCCGCCCCAGGAATACACCTTGGGGTCTACGAGGCAGCCCAGACCGCCTTCTTGACACCATTCCGACACGACAGCATAGATGAATTCGATCTTCGCGCGGAGGAGGTTGCCTTCTGTGAGCTCTTTGTAACTGTCTTCCTTGTCGGCTGAGCCGTACAGAAGCTGTTGCAATGAACCCCGAAGATGTGCTCTGGCCTTCACGTGCTTCCACGGCACGTTTCCAGTCTCTTCGAGAAGAGACGTCGCATCTAGAGGAAGGCATAAGAAGTGCCCGTAACCTGCGTCTGACGACAAGACAAGTTTGGTGTGGTCTGGGAAGTTGAACTAAACATACTGTTAGACGCGCTTTGTGAATCAAGGCAAAAGCGCTTACTTGGAAGGAGCCGTCGTCGAAACCCCAGATCCCGACGTTACCCAGGCGTTGGTAAAAGCGAACAAAGTTCACGCGGGGATCTTTGCGAAGCGGCTTTTCTTCGTCGCCAAAGGTTGCGCACATGTACTTTCCGAACTTGTGCCAAACTGTCCGAATCTCCTCAATGCGTCGCGATTCAAGCACTTCAATCTCCGACAATCCCCGGTCTTTCTTCACGGTCGTGTAGTAGTTGAGCGCAACGCTTTTGGCAAGCTCTCGGTTGCCTCCAGCCTTCCGTAGGTGGTTGTATCCGTCCGTGGCAAATGCGATCGTGACGGGGTATTGCTCCTCTGCAGAGAGCAGTGTCCCGATGCTACCATCGTTGAGGACGTATCCCACTCCGTATCTACGGCTGTAGTCTACCCATTTTGCGACAAATGGTAATTGCGGTGGCTGATCTCTCCTTGACTTTGTAGGCTTCTTGTCGAGGGCTCGTTCAAGGTTGTCGCGGAATGTCATCAAGCGCGCCAACACAGTCACCGGATCAGTCGCAGGCATGTCATTGCTGACGGTCCGATAGCGGGGAGCACTTCGCGTCGAAGTTTCTTTGGGCGCAGGCTCCGATTTTGCGCTCTCTCGAGCGCTAGTCCGGGAGACTCTTAGAGGTGGGAGGTCAGGTAGTCCGTTTGACGTTGTCTTTGGCGCTTCCTTTGCGGTTTCCTTCGCCGTTCGTGCGCGCGTCGAAGTTCGTGCCTCACGAGGGACGCGTAGAGGAGCAGGTGCGGAAGCCGTGTTCGCAGTAACACGCCCAGTGTTCGAGATCTTACGGGCTGCTCGTAACCGCGTCGGCTGTTTGTCAAGTATCCTGTGCACGGGCTCTGGCTCCTCGGCTGGCTCTACGTTCTCCTTCAATGTCTGCATCGGCTGTGGTTCCCTTCTTGGGGCTCTAGATGGACGAGTCTTTGTCCGCTCGTTTCCGGTAGTTTCTGAGAGGGCTTGGCTTTCAGACGACGATTCCTTCTCTTCTGATATTTCACTGAGCCCTCCCGGGGCTTGATGAGGCCACTGCGTGCGGGCAGGGAAAGGTACGTAAACGACATCTTTGGAGAACGGGATGTTTGGTTGTTTGCCGGCTTCAATCTCCTTTTGACAATCCCTTGCTACTGTCTTGTTGGTCCTGCGACCGAAGGTTCCAAATGCTTTTCCTTGTTCGTATTCGCCAACCGATGAGGACTTGCAAAGCGCCCACCATTCCTCAGTGTATCCACGCCTAATCGTAGATGCTGTAGGTGGGCGGTTCTTCGGCCATTTCGGAACCCGCGAGGTACATTCGCTGCTCAGCTCCAATGGGATATAGCCCAATTTGAAGAAAGGGTGCGCAACGATCTGGTCGGGGGTCGGTCGCTCGTCTTCGTGCACCAACAGTAGCGAGACGATGTCGCGGAGATCGTCGGTGATCTCGTTGGCGAACTTGGCGAGGTCCGGCCAGGTGTATTCACGAGCCTTCAGCTTCCGGTAGATGTCTTCGCGCTTGGCTGCATGGAATGGCGCTCTTCCGACTGCCAGTGTGTACATCATGATTCCGATAGCCCACAGGTCAACCTTCTCGTCATGGCCCTTTCCTGTCTTCTCCAAGACCTCCGGCGCAAGGTAGTTGGGTGTACCGCACATGGTTGTTCGACGGATCGCCCCATAGTCGCTCTGTGACACCAGTAGTGCAGCAAGACCGAAGTCGCCGACCTTGACGTTCATATCCCGGTCGAGGAAGAGGTTGCCTGTCTTGAGATCGCGATGTACGATGTTCCGTTGGTGGAGATATTTGATTGCGCCGCACGTCTGGATCATGAACCGCCTGATCTCGGGCATGGTGAAGTATTTGCGCTTCTTGATCGCATCGGCAAGAGAACCGTTTTCGCATAGCTCCAGGACAACATAGGTGCTTGATTCGAAAGAAAAGGCGCGGAAAAACTCGACGATGTTGGGATGAGATAGCTTCGAGTGGATCTGTAGTTCAGTGACAAACTGCGGCGCGTCAGCAAACAGCCATGCCTTCCTCGCCAGCTTCCAGTACCTTTTGCGCCAGCTTGGGGGGCTCCATTTTGGATTTGACAATCTTCAAAGCGACGGTAGAGCTACCGAGGTGTTCATGGCCCAGCAGCTTTGCGCGATGGCAGATAGCGAAGCCGCCTTTGCCCAGCTGCGATCCCGTTTCATATTGGAGTCCCTCGGGGTCCTGGACCACGGCCGGCGGGGCATCTGCGTGTATCGACGAGGCAGACATTGGCGTGGAGGTAGATGGAGAGAGATGATGAAATCGGGGACGAGGTCGCAGAGTGTTGATGGCATGTAAACAAGGGCCCGTTAGCGTCGTTGCTAGGGCTGTCGGCCAATCGGCGCCCGGCACTGTCCGCTCGATGCACAGCGACTTGCACAAGCTTGCACTGGAGATCGTGCTTCACGATCCAGTACGAGTTCGACTTAGTCGTGTGAGCTGTCCATGCGTCTCGTCCTGTATCCCGCGTTGTCATGGAGCTGCTGGGCCCGCAGTCAGTCGCCATCGCCGTCGGTGGATCTCCGGCAGCGCAAGGCAGCATCGATTTGAACATCGAACCTGCAGCCATGCGCAACACCACGAATAATCTTACACCACATCGCTCTACAGTCCTTCCGATGCGTCTATCTCTATGAAGCTTGCGATGCACAGCCGTCCGTCGGTCAATTGCCTCCATACCTCCCCGCGACCATCCGAAACGCTCTCGTAACCAAATATGTCTCTCACGCTCAAGGTCACATCACTGTTCGTCAGAACGCTTGCAAAGCCTGTAGCAGTATGTTTGGTTAGCTCCGGGCATCTTCAGTCATAACTGACACACTCCAGAATGCCATCAAGCGCAATGCCCACGAACACGATCGATTTCGCCGGATATGCGTCAAATTCGCCCAAGGTCTGCATCGCGTCGATATGCGCATGCGCCTCGGCCTCCTCCAGGATCCTGCTGTTATCGACAGACAGATTAAGAAGGAAGTCCAGTTAGCAGAAGCCGCGCGGAAAAAAGCAGCTGCCCCCACGGTCCTTACCGAAGAGGAGATGAAAGCGGAAGAAGCGCTCACGGAGAAGGAACGCGAAGCAATCAAGAAGAAGACTGAAGAGAGAATCAAGCCGCGTATCCGACCTTTATCCGAGCAAAAAGCCATCGAGATGGGCGCCAATTTCGCTGCCGAGACCTTCATATTCGCTGTTGGAATTGCTGTAATCCTCGTCGAGCAATGGAGGCAAAGAAGGAAGGCACGGAATGCCAGAGACGATATAAGAGAAGATTTAGAGGAGGTGCAGGCTGAGCTCAAAGCAGTCAAGGCAGAATTTGAGGAGTTCAAAGCGAAGCACCCGGAGCCCGCATCCTCAAAGTTACTAGGGTTCTTCACGGGCAGTGGGAAGAAGGAAGACAAGAAGCCTGAAGCCGTGAGCGCCGAAGCGAAGCCAGCACATGTCGAGGCTCAACCGGATGCTGCCCAATGGACGAATGCTACATCTGCAACGCACGAGCAGTCGCCAGCCGATAAGCCCTCACAACATAAGGATCTAGGGATGTACACTCGGGAAGCGTAGATGTGTACATCTTACGGGCATACATTCTCTAGGCTCGGCTCATGGTTATACCATGTTGAGAGCGTTATCTGGATACACTCCTCTCATATACCCAACACAATCATAGAAGCATGAAGTTTTCCATTACCGTGTCGCGACCCCACGATCTTCTGTGTTCAGCCTCTTATCCTAATTTGACGTTTTGTTGGCATTCGCTAGTCGCTCTTTCTGTCGCAACCCACGCACCTTCTACAAGAACAAGCTTAGCTCACAGGCATTGACTAGGGTCACATGGAAAGTATACACTTCCTCGACATCTCAAAGACACACACTCAATTATTCCGACACCAAGTCATCCCCAACTACCTTTCAGACTCACGCCTGCCCTCAATATGGGGCTTTCACACAACACTGGGCTTTGCCAAGAAAAGAAACAGCAATCTATCCTCCCAGATGAGAAAATGCATTCCATCATCGCTGTTGCTCCGGCCCAACTGGACGGTGGAGCGGACTACTATTCGCGAGCAGTCAACGACGGAACAATTCACTCTCAGCAACGTTACTATCCCCAAGTCCCCCACCAGTCTCAGAAAGCGCCTTCCGTCCCCCCACCGCCGCCTCGCCAACCATCCCGCACCATTGGAAACGCAGTCAATGACCTGCTTCCTTACTGCACAACCGAGCCGCCTCTGAGCCAAGCTCAAGTCATCGCTCTGAGCGACGTTGTGGGTAGTCTGAGGGAACTCGTGGTTCTGGCTCTAGGTACGGCTTCTGGTGCGGCGGGCTATATGGAGAAATTGGAAGGGGCAGTGGGTTCGCGGGCCGCAGTGAACATTGTAGAGTTCTTTGCCGACGAATGGGAGATCGAGGGTTGAGAAGATTCGTAGATGTGGGGTCAGAAGTGAGGGGATGGTTCCTATCGCATGGTGGCTGTGGGAGATGAAAAGTGCTCATGTGGATGCAACTATAAGCAGAACAGGCAATGATGAGGAAGATGGGAGGTTTTGATGGGAAATTGTATCATTCGCTACCAGGAAAGAAAACTGTGCTCGCTACCAAACCATCCACCTCACCTGCGAAGTATAAAACGTTCGCTCCCTCCTGCCTCCTCAATTTTCTGCACCTCCAAGCCGAAAAAACCGAGGGTAGCTCAGCACATCATTTCGATCGACGATCGAGAGGGAAGTCAAACGGCACTATAGACCGGTGATGACAAGAGGTCGATGTCTTCGTGATATCGACCAGTGTTCTGAGGTCAAAGAGAAAACGTTCAAACAGCAGTATCGACCGGTGATGACAAAGGAATCGACATCTTCGCGATTTCGAAACTCCGTTCTGAGGTCAAAGGTCCGTAGTGTATGAGAGCGTTGAAAGAGTTGAGAGCGATGATGAGCGAGCTGGGGGTCGTTCACATATCATTCCACCTGCCTTCAGTGTGTCCGAGTATATCTCCACCCAATTCTGTTGTATTCGAGGCAAGAAGGGGTGACAACGGCTCGGGAGCACAACGAGGCAGTGGTCGTGACGGGACTGAAGGGATCTCGGTAACGCGGTGTACGGGTTTGGCGATGGGTGATAGGTGACGGTAGTGTGATCGTGCCGCTTGTCGTGACAGCGGAGTGCAGAGGTAGCCGTGTCAGCCAGGCCTGAACGATGGATGGACTGCCGATGGAAGATGCTGATGAAGGTATCGCGTTTGAATGGTAGAGGACGTCTCAAATGACATGAAGAAGTGAAGGAGTTCCAGAGAAGAGCGGAAGTAAAGGGGATTCACCGGAGATGCTCGAGTGAGTTGAGATAAGAAGAAATGGAGGAAGACGGTGGGAGGAGTAGTTTATATACGGGCAGAAACCGCTGCGCACCGATGCTGTTCCCCTTCAATGCTTCTTGCCAGTATGCTGCGTCATGGGTTGAATGTAGCAGGGACGTTGAAAGAGTTCCGAGGCTCTGCCGTAGCAAATGAAGTAGTGACTGATGGGTGTCATCGTTTTGGGAGAGAGCTCTCGACAGATCAGGCAAGCTCAGTGCAAGAGTCGCGTGGGCTGGGGGACCACCTATCTCGACTCTGTATTGGCCGTGTCAAGGGTGAAGGGCATCATGCTGCGGTAAGAAGACTGCATGTTTTGAAACCTTTCAAAGGCAAAAGCGCATGTGTTGAGTAATATTATGTATTACTGTAACGACTAGGTATCATACATTAACCACTCCATCCTCCGTAAACACAATCATCAAAGCGATGGTTTAAAAGCAAGCGCATACCAACATTCCGCTAACTTTCCGTGAAAAACTCGGAAAACAAGAACGCAAAAGTACAGCGATGGTTACTAGGCAATCTACGAGCCTCCAAAGCTGGTGATGTTAATCCCAATGTCAGCCAACGCCGGTCCGACATTCAGATTCAGGTTGATCGTATTGCTCTTGATCGCATCTTCGTAGTAGGTCAAGTGCTGACCATCCTTGATACTTGAGTTGCCCACAATCTCAAGCGGCAGCACAGCATTGTTGTACTTCTCCTGAATCAGGCCCAAGATAGCGAGCTGGTCGACGTGGCTTTGCAAAGGGAATTTGTTGTCGCCGGGCTTGAGGTAAAGGTTTGGAATGAGTGCGTAGCCAATTGCGGTGCCGTCGACAGCTAGGTTCATGGTGATGTTGCCTAGGTCGAGGGTCATGACAGAGGGGTTGGGAATGCTGACGTTGGCAATGAGGTTGGAGCCATCGGACAGGATCTCGTCTTCGCCGGAGAGAATGCGCACATCGCTGATGTTGAGTCCGGAGAGCTTGTTTAGTCCTGCAAAAATAATTAGACTAGTTCTTACTGTAGCTTCAATGAGACATACCCTTCATCGTAATGACTTTGTTGTAATCGACGTCCATGGTAGGCAGGCCAGAGAGGTGAATGTTGGTCTTGCCGTCAAGGTGGATTTGGATTGTCTCGCTGTCCAGCACAGCCTTGGTGTAACTGGAGAACTCGACATCACTCGCGAAAATGACATCTTGGTCGACGGTGATGCGGGTCTCTGCCTCAGATTTCGCTTCAGGTATGTTGATGTAGATGAAAGGGTCTTGTCCTGGTAGCGATAGTCCTGCTTTGAAAGCGTCAATCTTAGGGTGATAACTACTGCCACTCCTGATGACTGTATCGATCTTCAGGTGGACACCATTCGGCTGCGGGTTGGTGACTTCCTGGGAAGTAACTTCGAGTGTCGAGGCGTTGATCTCATGCTGTGCCTTATTTGGTATACCAACAAATATAATTGGCAGGACAATGACCAACACAATGATTACGAGGACTAGGCAATCTAACGTAATGTAAACACGAAGTACGCTGAGGCTGTCGGGAGAGACTTACCACACCACCAAAACTTCCTGCAGTGGTTCTTCATACGCCCTTTGGCGCCTGGCGTGGGTCCTGGCGGGTAGAGCTTGTTCATAACGCCGCCTTTTTTCTGGGGCGTTGTATACACATCGTCCGCCCGTGTCTCTCCGCCGACTTTGCTCTCCATATCGTCGATCTTGTGTGAAGTGTAAAGATGTTGTTGTGTACAGTTCGATAACTCTGCCGCCCACCGGTTGATGGCGATTCAGAGCGACTGTGGGTTCTTCAGGGGACAGACCCGCAGGGTGTCGCACGCGAATTAAGTAGAAATAAGAAAATACACCAAGACTTCCAAGGATGGTATGAACGCGGAGGTACGCGGGGAACGCACACCTCGTGGATGTCAAAAGCTGGGGAATGTGTAGGAGACTGGCACATGCACGAAAACGACCGAGACCCCTCTTACGCCAAATACCAATTGGCTGTGCACCGATGGCAAGGCGAATGTCGAAAAGGGTACGATCAGTGACAGGCCTCTTAGCGATTTTCATGAAGATGACGGGTTGCCCGAGAAAGTAACCTGTTGCGGATACGCTCCGAAGCAATCACCACCTATCCGGTCGCATTACAAAGCCGAGGCAGCGCAGGCAATTGAAGGATCAATTGGCACATGCGTGAGGGATGTCTGATGAAAGCGGCCACTTTTTGTAGCCTACGGCGCCGAAGAGCCGTGAGTGGATGGGCTGCAAAAAGGACCAAGCTACTCGGCAAAGCCCGTCTATCTGGATTGGCTCGTCCTACTACAGCCAGAGGCGAAAAGGCGTTGACTCGAGTGACACGCGATCATATCGAACAGCCCTGAGCAGCCCGAACAGTGCGAGGGATCGTTGTTAACCCCAGACGGTAGCGCGGGTCCTGCACCTTTTGAGGTTAGAGGTGGAGAAACCCCCCCTGAAGCGGCAACCAATGTAAGCCAATGCTTGTCGGTGTTCGATCTGAATTCGGGAGACGCGCCTCTTTGTTGCAGAAAGGAAGTAATCTAAAGCCGTCTAAAGCAGCAGGTGAGCAGAGGTTTATTGCCTCAGGTAAGAGAAACACCAGCCCCCTCATTCACATGAAGGCCAAAAGCCGAAATCAAGGACTCGAGCCGAATCAACCCCAACACCCATCAAGCGGCTGCATCTCTGCATCTCGATATACACGCTGGGACATAGGATGCAAGCGGATGGCTTCGTCGCACTGCAAGTCGTCTAAATCAACATCGAGCAGGGGGTGCCTTGGCATCCGAAACACCCGCCATCTGCGGTTGATGTCGTATCCAAGTCGATTTGTATGGCACTCAGGGCCGGCCCAGCCCTTTTCCCCAAGAAACGTAGGTGGCGGAAGTCGTTGTTCGAGCCTCCTTGGTCTACGGCTGGAGACGAGATCGTTGGAAGGCCTAATGTGCACCCGCGTCAGTGTGCGCGATGCGTCACTATAGCGCTGATTGAGGGCCGATGGCAGTAGCAGGCTGGGCGAGGAGATGTGGTCGAAAGAAGACTCTGGGGGATCGCCTGCCCTGACATATGCCAAGGGAACGCTACGAAGGTGGGTCGCTGCCGCTGCGGGCACTCCTGCAAGTTGCAGCGCGCGAGTCGACAACACAAATTTTGAGACCATTCACAACTCACTAGCACAACATGGCGCAATCGGACGAGGAGGATGACTACATGAATATGGTGTTTGAGGATGCGCCAAAGGGACCAAAGTACGAGACTTCCCTCCAGCGCGCCGCACGCAAGCGCAAAGAGGTGCGTCTTGTGGTTTAGCCACAATATGCCAGACTGACACGGTGACAGGGCGAAGCCAAAGCGCGACAAAAGACCAAGGCCGAACGAGAAGAAGAGGCCGAAGCTGCACGAGAAGCTGCCCTCGCTACTGCCCTGCCCGAAACCAACAAGGGATTCAAGATGATGGCCAAATTTGGTTTCAAGCAAGGCGACGCTCTGGGCAAGTCCGAAGACGCGCGCAAAGAGCCCATACGAGTCAACCCCAAAGACGATAGAGGCGGCATTGGGCTGGAGTCGGAAAAGAAGCGCAAATTCAGAGAACAGTTCGAGGAAGCGGATCGACTGGCAAAGCGCGCAAAGGAAGAAGAGGGTGATTACCTGGAGATAATGCGCCAAGAACAGAAAGAGAAGAAGGCCGAACGGGATTTGGACAGCGCGCAGAGGACAGCCGAGCGTTTGTCTGACAAGAAGGCTGAAGAGAAAGGCGCCCCAGACACGAGCGAGAAACCACTGAAAGACATCAACGTACTCTGGCGTGTTCGTGCGCGACGCAGGGCCGAGAATAGCCGCGACAAGCAGCAACGACGAGAACTGAACAATAGCATTTCGTCGCGACTACCCACGTTAGCCCCCGAAGACGATGACGACGATTCGAAGATAGCACAAGGCCGGGATCTTGCGCCGTTCTACACTACGCTCGAAAACGAGCTAGAGGATGAAGATCCAGAGCTGGCAGAGTTTGAGGCCTTGCCTGTAGCAGAGCGATTACAGAAGCTTTTGGTATTTCTTCGCGAAGAGTACCATTATTGTCTATACTGTGGATACGAATATCCTGACGCCCAAATGGAAGGATGTCCAGGAGTGACTGAGGAGGAGCACGATTGAGAGACCTAGATCTTCTCTACATGAAGATGTTTGATAACGCAAGCTACGAGCACGAATCCGCTCTACTTTCAGCCTGAAATAGGTGAGAACACGAATTGACACACGGGACCGGCGTAATATTCGGCTAGTATAACATCGCGTGGCTTCGCAATTCAAACTGCTGTCACGATATGGCAACGGTTATAGTAAAGTTGCGGCAATTGAGGAGATCGTAGTCTGTAAAGGAATCCTGTTCTTTCGGTCTCCAAGATATGTATTCATGGGCATTCGAAGGTGAGGTAGCTTCAAGGTACATTCTAGACTCCAGCAACAACTCTCAGTCATCAATGAGTGGATGAAGGGAATATGTGAAATGAATAGAGAGAATACCTACATAGAAAGTCCAGTGCAGATAAACTGCAATCAAAATAGGATTCTCAGATGTCATAATTCTGTCACTCCCACCACAATGGATACGATTCCTTGCAGCATGCTGGTATTCGGCGTTGTCATTGAAACAGCCTCGTGAGCTTTGACCAGATCACCAAGTCCCGTGCTCACGCGCTTCGCGATTCGTCGCGCTTGCCCCTAGGCGTTGCACGTCAACAACATCAGACAAGTACGAGAATCATCACGACTACAACGATCGAGAATGGAACATCAGAAAAGCTACATCTATGAACCCCCAGCGTCGGAGGAGCGGGCACCAAAACGACAAAGGACCGGCAAATTCGACCCGCAGGCGCAACTACCAGAACGGCTAGCCAGGTATCGAGAGTTGTGGGCACAGCAAGACGAGCGCATTCAAGTGAGCCGGATTGCAACATGTGTAAAACATCCGCTAATATGACCAGAGTACATTAGAAGGAGCGGATAGCGCCACCCAGGAAAAGATCGTCAACTTCATCTCCGCTTCCAGGGCATCGCCAGATGAATCGAAGTTTGCCATACCGACAGCGCTCATTGTTGCCGGCCCCAGTATTGCATCACATGGACCTTTTTTCGAACGCCTAGGTCGGGGCATTAGAGCTGAAAATTGCGCATATGTTGTGCTAACGTCCAGCGAATGTCCAAATTTGAAGACGCTGCTGAAAACCCTCATTAAGAAGGTTACTTTGCGCGTGGACGATGAGGATGATGATGATCTAGATCGTCCAGCTACGTCTTCGAGGCATGGTCCGAAACTACTCAATTACGATCTTGGTCATGTTCAGGAATGGCAAAAGAAGAATCGCTCTTCTAGCATCGTTGTGGCTTTTCAGGATAGTGAGGCTTTCGACGCCGGACTACTCGTCGATGTAGTTGATCTTCTTCAGTATGTCTGATCATATCTAGCGATGGCCCATGCTAATTTGTACAGCTCATGGCTCGATCGTCTGCCGTTTGTGTTACTCTTTGGCATTGCTACTTCAGCAGAGAGCTTCGAGGAGCGACTGGCTGGCAATTCACTCCGCTACCTTGAAGGCCAGAAGTTTGACGTTACTCAATCCGACGAGATCATCGAGAAGCTGTTCCGCGCGACTGTTGCCAGCACAGATTCTCGACTTCACATTGGACCCAACCTCTGTCGCCGCATGCTGGATCGACAGAAAGATCATGTTCAAAACACACAGGATTTCTGTGATGGGTTGAAGTACGCTTACATGTCGCACTTTTATGCTAGCGTGCCCAGCATCTTCCTCACACATGATTTTTCTTCCGGAGACCTGTCAGCGGATGCGTTCGAAGCTGTACGCACTCTTCCCTCATTTCGCCAGTGGGTTGAGAGTATGCTAGAAGCTGGTCAGGTACAGGATATACGTAGGGTGCTTGAAGATAAAAAGTACCTGTTCGACCAGATTGCACATCATCTGCAATCTGGGCAACGAACCATGAATTCGTTGAGCCACGCTGTGGAGGTACTAGCGAACATACGGGAGTCGCTCCAGATGTCGCCCAGCGTCCGACTTTCCTCTATCTGGACCCGAGCAGCAGCTGGCGAACTAGCTGGATCGCCCCTAACTCGCGAAACGATGCTGTCCATCAAAAAGATCCCATCTGACAAATTGGTACATTTGCTCGCATCGCTACGAGATCTTGAAAACGATAACTTCTCGCTGGGTATTGCTCCGGCTCAACAAACACTCGACAGCCTGCTAGAAAACGCCGATGTACCGCTCCGTACGCAGCACGATGTCCGCAACGACAGTGTACGAACCACCGTCGTGGCACAAAAAGTACTTTTGAGCAAGCACAAAGCTGCACTGTCAGAGCAAGACAAGGCATACTCAGACCTGGTCACAGAATTTCACGACAAGCTCGAGGCGTGTTTCACCTCCTCGTTCATCGACCCGAAGACATTGGTTCTACATGAGCTCTTCATATACGACCTCAAGTCACCACACACAGAAGTCTTTCAACCCAAGCCACGCTTTGCTGTTGAGCGTGCGCTAGCTTGTCCTCACGACTATCTAGGCTGCGACTGCTGTAGTGGAGTAGACGGAAACCCGGCAGCTCTTTCTGCTACACAACCCGCAACAGCCATTGTGTATCAGATGTACCTCGAGTCCGGCACGTTGATTAACGTTACCGATCTTTGGTCGGCGTTTAATGCCATTGCAGGAGACGGAACGGAAGAGAACGAGCCCAACACCATGTAAGTCTGTACATGCACACCACAGCTATAGTATACTAATTCGTCACAGGGCGCTATTCCAGCGAGCACTAGCCGAGCTACGATACCTCGGCCTGGTCAAACCAAGTCGAAAGAAGACAGACCATATTTCCAAGATCATGTGGAAAGGACTTTGAACCCTGCTTCCTTCTCCATTGCAACCACTGTACATACAATACATATCATACATCCCATTTTCATCCTATTCAAGCCTTCTTGGGCTGCGGCGCAGTATCGCAAACCGTCCCACAACTCTTACATGTCCTCTTCTCCGTATCCGCCTTGAAAGCATTCACTGCATCCTTAATCTGCGTCCCCAGATCCGTACAATGAAATGCCGCCTCATACACCTTATCCCCACAATTCTGACAATACCACCTCAGGCGATCCAAACTGCCCTCCGGCCTCTTCTGCTCCAACACCACGCCCACAGTATCCTTGAAGCGCACGGGGTTATGCGGCGTGTTTGGCGGAAGCAAGAACATGTCACCCTCGTTGATGTGTATGTCTTTGAATTGCTGGCCTGGTGGTTGGGTGGTGTCGACGACTTTGAGCAGCATGGCGCCTTTGTGTTGGTAGAACCATTCTGCGGTTTCGTTGATGTGGTAGTCGGTTCGTTCGTTGGGGCCGCCGACTATCATTACGGTGACGGCGTCATTGTAGACGCAGTAGTTGTTTATCGGCGGTTTGAGCATGTGGGCGTTTTCGGAGACCCTGAACGGGATTCGGGTTAGCTTTGAACTGTGTCTGTTTGAGAAGGAATGGGACGTGGAGAGCTGGGATTGTTGGTGTATGTACCATTTTGGTATGTTCAATGGCGGACCTAGTTGTCGGTGTGGTTGTGATTGCGAGAAGTGGCGTTGTGGGAGTGTTGCGGAAGGTCGCGGTACCGGTCGCGAAGCGCGTTGCGCGAGCCTGATGGCTGGCCGTAACGTCCGTGTTGTGTTCATCTCACCGTGTCGCTCGAGAGAAAACGAGATGTACTGCTCAAATTAACGAAAGAAGTTTGTGTCTATCTGCTTTGAAATGTAAAGTCGACGATGTAATCACCAAGGGTCCAACGACAAGTGGGGAGCTTCTCGCCCCGCGGAACCGCGGCTCGTGCGTGCATGCGTCGATCACTGGTGCGACGCGTGCCATCACATGCAGCTCTTGGACCCGCCTATCTTGAGACACAAGCACAGCTTCCCCATCTCCTCTGCAGCATTCAACAACAATCACAACAAGTCATCTCGATATCACAAAACAACATGGGCATGGATCACTCGCACATGGACCACGGCCACATGGGTCACGACATGCCCGGCATGGGCGGCGATGGACCCAAGTGCAACATGAACGTATGGCTATCTACCTCCTAGTATCGAACGATACGCTGACATGTCGCTCGAACAGATGCTGTTTACCTGGGACACAACCGATCTATGCATCGTCTTCCCCTCATGGCACATCTCCGGCACGACCTCGCTCGTCTTCTCGCTCCTCGCCGTCGTCCTCATGACCGCCGGCTACGAAGCCATCCGCGAGATATCGCGACGATACGAAGCCTACTCCAAGAGCGTCATGGAGGGGCCTAGAGGTGAGTCTACCTCTTTCATACACATACCCACACAACATGGCTTGTAGTCATCGAGACTACGAGAAGAGGCAAGGTCGTAGAAGTAGGAGACTAGGGAGGTCTCTTTTCTTCTATCTTCAATCACCATACTCTTGAGGAACACTCGCTGAGTTTAACCTTTTCGTCGCCATGTAAAGACGATGCAGACGAATCTAGCTCATTACTTGGATCAGGGAGAAACGGTGGTGTTGGGCGGAGTGCCGAGCAGCAGATGAAGATTATCAAGGCTGTTTTGTATGCTGTGCAGGTGTTTTACTCGTTCTTCATCATGTAAGTTTATCCTGGTGGCATTGGAGGTGGTGTTTGGAGCTGATGTGTGTAGGCTGCTTTTCATGACGTACAATGGCTGGGTTATGCTTGCTGTTGCTGTGGGTGCTTTTGTTGGATACTTGATGTTCAGCCAGTCTTCGTCGACGAAGTCGGTGGCCTGCCATTGAGTGGTGTACACAGAAGCAGTGTGGTACGGGGGAATGGATAACAAGATGGGTCGAGGCATGCAGATGATCTGCTCTCCGTCAACAAGGCGCAGATTCACATATCCTGCGATATCCGGGCCTAGTACCAACCCTGCAGCTCCGATGTATCGGACGCGACGTTTGGCCAAGCTCGGTTTTGCAGGCGCCAACCCTGCAGATACTTTGAGTGTAAATAGCCAGCTGGCAATATATCTTGTAACGATTGTCTTTGTGTTCGGCCTTCAGGATCGACTCGCGCAAGATGCACCGAGATGGATCTGGCCGCATCGGCAAGAACTACCCCGAGAAATATCCAATCGAACAATTTAACCACCATTGATCTTGACTGCAGAGTCTTATACCTTGATATCGGAGCGTCTTTGGAAGTCGGTGTAAGATGAGGCTCCGACATGGTTTCATAGCTAGAGTCAGTTCCGAAGACGGCAATATCGCCCGCTCATTGTCGCTCTCGTGCGAGCAAACACCGATCGGGCTCTGATGCCTAGGCGGGATGATTTGCCATAACGAGCATCGTGGAGCTGAACCATCAACGAACATTGCAAGAGTTGAAAACGAAGAAGTCGCGCAGCAAATGTATTGCGTCTACGATGTTCCAGATTGACTATTGTGGCTAGCCAGGCTTAGCATCAGGCGTGGACATGTGCTCTAGCCTTCACATGCCAACGGCGAGTTCCACGGTTGCGCGTTCCCACGCGTGACTTGCCCCAGGTTTCCCAGCAAGCCCCAACTCCTCGGCGTTCCGTCCGATGCAGAGGTCAGCGCTGCGCCAACCGCCAACCACGCTGCGCATACCCAAGTCATGTGGGCGCTGACGGCGACGAGCGTCTTCACATGCAACAGCTGAACCGTTGCTTGAATTTCGCATCAGCAGCGCAGTGCAGGCCGGGCTTGGTGAGGCTCACGCATTGCCAGCAGACAAACAGCCGCCGCCTGATTGGCCCGCGCGGCGACAACCTTGAAGGTGCATGCGGGTTAGCGCATTCTCCACTTCCGAGGCACAAGTTGCGCTTCAAGTGCTAGACGGAAGCCGAGCAGCCATCCGTTGCATCCATACAAAGCAGAAGCCGGTCCCCAGACTTTTCGCCTTCATCTGCTCTCTCTCCATACCCCGTCTTTTCTCCCCTTCCCTCTTCAACCGCATCCATCACCATGCCTGAGAGAGTAATTGTTGTTGGCGCTGGCCGTAAGCATCACTGCATCATACACCGTCACGCGCACGGCTAACCACGACGACAGTGTCCGGCTTGAGCGCTGCTCACACCATCTACCTTGCTGGCGGAAATGTCGTTCTCCTCGACAAGAACAACTTCATGGGAGGCAACTCCACAAAGGCCACATCGGGAATCAACGGTGCTCTCACAAGGACACAAGTCGACGAGAAGATCGGCGACAGCGTCAAGCAGTTCTACGATGACACACTCAAGTCTGCGCGAGACAAGGCGCGACCAGACCTGATCAAGGTCCTGACCTACAAGTCGGCTGCTGCCGTTGAGTGGTTGATGGACGTCTTCAACCTAGACCTCACTCTCGTCTCGCGGTTGGGGTACGTCCGACAATATTCCCGAATCTGACACATGTACTGACTTTGACAGTGGTCACTCCCAACCCCGTACCCACCGTGGCCACGATGCCAAGTTCCCTGGTATGGCCATCACATACGCTCTGATGCAACGATTCGAAGAGTTGGCCGAGCAGGAGCCGGAGCGCGTCCAGCTCGTCAAGAAGGCCAAGGTCTCCAAGATCAACACCGAGGGCAACCGCGCTACCGGTGTCACATACACATTCGGCGGTGAGGAGACGACACTCGAGGGACCCGTCATTCTGGCGACTGGTGGTTACGCCGCAGACTTCACAGAGGACTCTCTTCTCAAGAAGTGGAGGCCAGACACATACGACCTCTCCACCACCAACGGCGCTCACGCTACCGGTGACGGACACAAGATGTTGATGAAGATTGGTGCCAACGGCATTGACATGGACAAGGTCCAAGTGCATCCTACTGGTCTCGTCGACCCCAAGGACCCTACCGCAAAGACCAAGTTCTTGGCCGCTGAAGGTATGTACATCGTCTACATATACTCTTCATACACTAACATTTTCTAGCTCTCCGTGGTGAAGGTGGTATCCTGCTCAACAACAAGGGCAAGCGCTTCTGCGACGACCTCGGTCACCGCGACTACGTGTCCGGCATGATGTGGACCGAGAAGGAGAAGGGCAACTGGCCCATTCGCCTCGTCCTCAACTCCAAGGCATCCAATGTCCTCGACTTCCACACAAGACATTACTCCGGCCGTGGCCTGATGAAGAAGATGACCGGTGCGGAGCTCGCCAAGGAGATTGGTGTCAGCGACAAGGACCTCCAGGCCGAGTTCCAAAGCTACAACTCCATTGCCAAGGGCGAGAAGAAGGACGAGTGGAACAAGAAGTACTTCCACAACCTGCCCTTCGACATCAACGACACCTTCCACGTTGCGCAGATGGAGCCTGTACTCCACTTCACCATGGGTGGTATCGAGATCAACGACCAAGCACAGTGCTTGAACTCCGACGGCAAGCCATTCGAGGGTCTGTACGTCTGTGGTGAGCTTGCTGGTGGTGTTCACGGCGCCAACCGTCTCGGTGGTTCATCACTCCTTGGCTGCGTCGTCTACGGTCGTGTAGCAGGAGACTCTGCCTCCAAGTACCTTTTCCAACAAGCCCTCAACAAGACCGGTGGCGCTGCCGTCAACCGTCTCGGTCAGATCTCGCTACACATCGACCCATCGCAACCGGGCAAGGTCTCCGTCGAGTGGGGCAACGGTGTCAGCGGAAACGCTCAAGCCAGCTCTTCATCAGATCCCGTTGAGCAACAAAAGCAGCTGTCTTCCGCACCTGTCATGTCCTCAAACGGCGACTCAAGTGACCCTGGCAAGGTTTCCAAGCCCAACGCACCCAAGAAGTTCAGCATTCCCGACAAGGAGTTCTCGCTCGAGGAGGTTGCAAAGCACAACAAGAAGGATGATCTCTGGATTGCAGTAAAGGGCATTGTTATGGATGTCACTAACTGGACAGACGAGCACCCAGGAGGTCCTCAGGCGCTCTTCAGCCACATGGGCAAGGATGCGTCAGAGGAGTTTGAGATGTTGCACGACGACGAGGTCATTCCCAAGTACGCCCCCGAGATCGTTATTGGTCGGGTCAAGGGTCAAGAGGTGACACTTGAGTACTAGAGGAAGGGAAAATGTTGTTTGTACTTTTAGCATGTTCGAAATGATATCACCTGCATATTTTCAGACAATTTCTTCGATAACGCATTCTTCGTGATGTTTGCAGCCTGTGTGATTCACCTGGTTAGCAGAGTTACACTGCAGAGAGTCGAGCCCCTCGTGCTCTGGTAGCGGCGGCAGATCAGCCTTGGATCAGCCTCGGACCCTGGCCGCATTTTCCCCAGACCATGAACACGCCGCAACCCGTCCCCCTTTGAGCATTACGCAGGCGACATGCTCACGACTGCGTAACGTTTCCTCTCACGTGAAACATCCCTCAAAAATGCTGCGCCAGCCACTCCTTCATTCTTTTGACAGACAATGACCACATACGACGAGTATGGCATTCCCGTCGGCGCATACTCAGAACCCGAGAGCTTGACGCACCAAGCATGGCGGCTGGGGAGAGCATTCTTTCTATATCGCATACGACCTGCTGTGCAGGGAAAGAGAAATGAACTGCGCAGTGGCAATTGGAGCTTTAAGCGGCTCTTTACACTCGTGAACGGGCTGGTGCTGTTGTGGTGGGTGGTTCTATACTGGGGCGAAAGAGGTGTCTTCAACAGCGCCGTGGAGAGCTGTAACTGGGACCAATGGGAGAACTGGGTACGCCTATACTTCACAATATCTACTAGAATACGCAAGTCTGACCATGTCTTTAGGAGACCGGCGCAAACCCCCACAGACTCATCTTCGTCGCCGACCCGCAACTCATAGATCCGCACACCTACCCTGGCCGCCCGTGGCCCCTCAATCCTCTAGCCTACAAATACACCGATTTGTACCTCCATCGCGCCTATTCTCGCTTCCAGACGATCCTATACCCCGACACTATATTCTTCCTCGGCGATCTCTTCGACGGTGGCCGCGAATGGTCTACGCGCACAACTACCTCGCCCGAGGAACAGTACCGCAAATATGGCGACGACTTCTGGATGAACGAGTACAGAAGATTTGGAAACATCTTTTTCAAGCACTGGGGCGATGGTGGCATGCAGGCGAGACCAGGACAACCTGGGCGGAAGCTCATAAGCAGTCTGCCTGGTAACCACGACTTGGGTTTTGCGAAAGGAGTACAAGAAGGCGTCCGGAATAGATTCGAAGCCTACTTCGGCGACGGTAACAGAATCGACGTCATCGCAAACCACACCTTCGTCTCAATCGACAGCGTCTCCCTGAGCGCATTCGGCCAGGAGTCCCCAGAACAAGTCGAAAAGATATGGCGACCGACGAAAGACTTCCTCTCCGACGCAAAGAAGCGCAAAAAGCGCCTCATCCAACGCGAACTACGAGCGCAACAAGGCCTTCGACCCTACCCCGGCATGCCTCACCACGCAATCTCCGCGCAAGACCTAGCCACCTCGTCCCTACCCCACGCCAACGACGACATTACTGAATTCCCCACGATCCTCCTTACCCACGTGCCCCTCTACCGCGCCCCAGGCACACCCTGCGGCCCCCTCCGCGAACACTGGCCCCCTACGCCTCCCCCGCCAGGCCAACCCCCACTCGACCACGACGACCGAAATGCCATCTCCGTCCGCGGTGGCTATCAATACCAAAACGTGCTCAACCGCGAGATCACTGCCGATATCGCTGAGAAGGTCGGTGATATCCGGTATGCTTTCTCAGGCGACGACCACGATTACTGCGAGTTGGTACATAAAGCTTATACCAGTGCCGGCGGCGGCATACGCGAAATCACGGTCAAAAGCATTAGTTGGGCTATGGGCGTTAGGCTCCCGGGTGTTGTGCTGGTTAGTCTGTGGAATCCTGTTGATGCGCATGGGAAACCGTTGAATGGCGGGGATGCGAGTAAGACGATTCAAACGAAATTGTGTCTGCTGCCTGATCAGATTGGCACCTTTCTGAGATATGGAAGTTTGTTCGGATTAACGTTCCTGCTGCTCTTCGTTCGCGCGGCGGGGTCCATGTTGGGGATGGTTTCGAATGAGGTGGAGGAGAAGGCGGAGAGTCCGCTGTTGCCTACGACGAATACTCCCGCTACTACCTTGGAGAAGGAATCGCATTCCTCCAACTCATCGACTTCCTCGGAACGAAATGGCAATCTATCTGCTCGAGCAACTACTCAAGCACGAACTCAACAACACCAGCAGCAGGCGAAATACCAACTCCCCTTGATACAACACGCCGGCTACGACCCCTCCAAAGACTGCGACGACGAGGATGCGGGGGATAAGAAAGTTAGAGTCTACGGCGTGAGTACCAAAGTGACCAAGAAGCCTAGGAAACGGAGAAAGGGCTTAGCACTGTTTTGGTGGGAACTCAGGACGAGTTTGAGGACGGTGGTTGTGCTGGGAGGCGTGTGGTATGTGTTTTTGGTTTGGAGAGGATAAGGGGTGTACCTCTGGTCGTTCATCGCTTGGTGTAGAAATATTATTGTCAACTTCAAGTTAAGCTTTTGGTTTGATGTGCAAAGTGATGGTGTGACATGATATGATATCAAATGCATATCTGGCTTGACTCTACCAGAACAGGAGGATTTGGTCCATTCGAAAAAGGCAGTACAATTCATACATATGCGTTGATCTTTATAACGTCTAAACTTCATGCCGTCTCACAATACAGCGACTGGATCATACACGCACCCTCACACTCGCATCGAATGACCTTAGAGCTTAAGACTCTCAATGAACTTGGTCGCTTCTGCAACACCCTCATCAACCTTGTCCGCATTCGTACCCTGGCCAATTGCAGTAGGAGCGCCCGGCTTGCCACCCGCCTTACCACCAATGATGGGAGTGACAGCAGCGGCCCATTTAGGTCCGTCGGCGCCTGCGTTCTTGAATGGCTGTGTGATACACATTAGCAAGAATCCTTTGACTCTCCCATGGAGACATTAGAAAAAGGATGAGAGGGAAAACTTACCTCACTAACATAACAACCATGCACAACCTTACCCTCCTCAGGCGAAGCAGAGAAAAGATACAAACTCCGATCTTTGAGCGCACTCTTCGGTCCAGAGACAGTCTTGATAGCTTCGCTGATAGCCTTGTTAACCGTGCTCGACCACTCCAGCTTCTTGACCATGAACTTCTTGCTGTCGTCCTCGAAGAACTTGGTCACTTCGTCGAGTACACGCTTGTTATCAGCTTTCGCAGCAGTCTTCTGCTCATCCAGAATGCTCTTTTGGATCTTGGCGAACTCTTCGCGGAGCTTAGTCTTTGCGATGGCGGAGATGGTCAGGTTGTTAAGATCGACGCCGATTTTCTTTGCTTCGGCTTCCTTGGCGGGGCCAAACGACATCTTGCCCATGGCTTGGACGCGTTCCTGGAACTCGCGCGCGATGCGTTGGACGTTGTAGGCTTCTTGGCCGGTGACGGCGACGATGCGGCGGATGCCCTTGGCAATACCGGATTCCTCGAGGATGACGAGTTCTTTGATCTCGCCTGTCTTGAGGACGTGGGTGCCGCCGCAGAATTCGATGGAGAGCTTTTCCCACTTCTCGTTCTTGACGTCACTGAGGAGCTCTTCGACTGGGACGCCGACGGAGACGACACGGACGGGGTCGGGGTAGGTCTCGCCGAAGACGGCGCGCACACCGCGGATTTCCTTTGCGGATGCGAGTGGTACTTCTTTAGCGTAGACTTGTGAATCTTGCTTGATGTACTCGGAGGAGATCTTCTCGACCTTGTCTAGCTCTGCGTCTGACAGACCAGCCTTGTGCGAGAAGTCGAAGCGCAGCTTCTCCGGTGCGACGAGAGAACCCTTCTGGTCGACCTCGTTACCAAGGACTTCGCGAAGAGCGTAGTTGAGGACGTGGGTACCGGTGTGGTTGTTGCGGATGGGATGTCTCCGGAGCTCGTCGAACTCTGCAATGACCTCGCTGCCTACGCTCAACTCGCCGTACTTGATGTAACCAGTATGTAGTACGTAGCCGGCATATACCTGTACGTTCTCAATACTGATTTCAGCCTCGCCATCTACAAGCAACTTTCCAGTATCGAATTCTTGACCACCCTGCTCGGCGTAGAAGTTTGTCTTGTCGAGCAAGACACCAAACTGTTCGCCTTCTGGTACTTCTTTTGTGCCCTTGAGGAACTTCTTGTTGTGGTATATCGCCTTGATGGTAGCGGTGATGTTCTCGCGGCCAAACTTGGGGGAATCGTCGGTCTTTGGGACCTCGGGCATTTTCTCCAGCGCACCAAGGTCGTGCACGTCAAGCTTGACGACTACGGCACCAGCTTTCTTGTCGCCCTTGCTAGCTTCGCGAGCCTTCTCTTGCGCTGCCTCGACCTCCTCGTCCTTGATCTTCAAGCCGCGCTCTTCAGCCATGAGCTTTGTCAGGTCGACAGGGAAACCGTAGGTGTCGTATAATCGCCAGACATCGTCTCCGGGTAGCTCATCGGAGCCCTTGGCCTTGGCCTTTTGCGCGTACTTCTCGAAGATAACCTCGCCTCGATCTAACGACTTGGCGAAAGCCTTTTCTTCCTCGTCCAGGATCTCCATGATGTCTTGTTGCTTCTTCTTAATCTCAGGGAACATCTCACCCATCTGATCAACCAGCGTAGGTACGATCTTGGAAAAGAAGTCGCCGATCTCCGTCTCGAAGTATTTGCGCGCATATCGTGCACCTCTCCGAAGCACTCGGCGGACGACGTATCCTCGACCGACATTATTTGGTACACCACCGTCTGCAATGGCGAAGCTCATCATGCGAACGTGGTCGGCGACGACTCGGTATGCAGTGTCAATACCATCTGGATCCTGATCTCCAAAGTTGCCCCTATATTCCCGCGCTCCAGTAATCTCCTGTATCCTCATGAAGAGTGGTGTGAAGACATCGGTGTCGTAGTTGGACTTTTTGTGCTGTAGTACTGAGACCAATCGCTCGTATCCCATACCCGTATCGATGTGTTTGTTCGGAAGCGGTCGTAGTGATCGGTCGGGTTCGCGGTTATACTGCATGAAGACGTTGTTCCAGATCTCGATAACCTCGGGGTCATCCATATTGACGAGCGACGCAGCGTTCCTGTACTCTCCGTTGACTGGTTCCCTCAGGTCGTAATGTACCTCTGAGCAAGGTCCACAGGGTCCCTGATCACCCATCTCCCAGAAGTTGTCCTTCATATCACCAGGCAGAATGTGATCTTCTGGCACGCCCACGCTCTTCCACAGCTCCTTGGCTTCCAGATCGGGCTCCAGCTCACCCTCTTTCCCTTCAAAGTATGTGACGTATAACCTCTTGGGATCTATGCCGTAGACTTTTGTGAGCAGCTCCCAGGTGAAGCCTACCGCCTCCGACTTGAAGTAGTCGCCGAAACTCCAGTTGCCCAGCATCTCAAAGAAGGTGTGGTGATAACTGTCCTTGCCCACATCGTCGAGGTCATTGTGCTTTCCACCGGCGCGAATGCACTTTTGCGAGTTGGCGGCGCGCTTGAGCTGTGCGAAGTCGGACGAGGGGTCGACGGTGCCTTGGAAGATGGCCTTGTACTGGTTCATGCCCGCATTGGTGAAGAGGAGGGTGGGGTCGGAGAGGGGCACGACGGATGAGGAAGGCACTGTTTGCTGTCAATTGACATCCTTGGAGATGTTGGACTCAGAGTATCAAAAGATGTCAACTCTCGAACACAGGGACGGAAACGCACCAAACGTGTGTCCGCGCTCCTTGAAGTAGTCCAGGAAAGTCTGGCGCACGCGGACGGCGCCCCATTCGTGCTTCTCTTCAACGAGCGACATGTTTGCGGCCGGCGCGTTGCCGTGGGGGAGGGGCAGCGAGAGAAGTCGAGTGCAGGTGAAGAGTCTCGTGCAGCGTCTAGACAGGACGAGGCTCGGGGAATGGGGACGCAGAAGGGAGGGCAGACGGCGTCTAACCGTATGGTGACTCAGAGGGGCAGCTCTCGTTGGTAGCAGCATTCACGAAAACATGTGGGCAGGGTGCGGGCGCCGAGAGCTGCAGCAGCAAACTGCGGGGCTGTCCTGTCGATAGCGGGCCAGGAGCTTCGGAGGACCGACATGGCGCGCCTCAGCCCTTCTGGAAGCTTCACGTAAGTGCGCCTAGACGACCGCACTCCCAGTATAACAACCACCATGTCCCGATCCTAACAACAGCACTATTGCTAATTCATCACACCACCCCTACCAATCGGCTGTCTTCGGGACTACTTGTATCACGATTTCCTGCCAAAGCTGCGATGCATGGCGCAAGTCGCTAGCTCCCCTCGTCCCTTCGCGCAACAACAGAATGCGCCCCATGGCACCAAGAGAGCCGCAGACAGTTCGCTTGAGAATGAACAGCGGCTGAGTAAGCGGTTTGACCTGCTAAATCTAGGTATGATACACCCGCTATACTTCATACATGCATATCCCGTACTGACAATGGTACAGTAGACAACAATGGCACACGCCTCTACATCCCCGTCCCAGGCTCAACCGATGCCACCCTCCCACGGCAACCCCAAGGCACAACCTCCTACGGCGACCCTCTAGCCTTTGTGTCATCACGTCGCCAATCACCCCGTAAGCTACGCCAAACTCGCCCCAGCACCTCTCAAGATGCATGCGGCATGGAAGTAGAAGACACGCCCCACCGTGTCTACATCTCCGACCTCAGCGCCGAACTCTCAGACCTAGAATCCGACGAGGAAACCCCCATTTTCCTCTCCGATATCGAGAAGCACCTCTCTAAAATCCCTCAACACATCTTACAGGGCCCAGAGCCCAAACCAACGGATAAGAACCAGTTGGTGCTGTACAATGTGCCGAGTAGTTTGACGGTGCCCGAGGCGCAGGACAACGTACGCAAAGCGATTGTAGAGGCGAGGCAGAGGATCAGGGATAAGCAGGTTAATCCCGTTACGGAGCCTGTGGATGTGGATCTGGGGAGGGACAGCAGTGTGGTCGGAGGACCGAGAATTATGGATGCGATACCCCAAGCTATGGCGTCACCTGCAGATGGAGACGGAGATGCCATGGACCTTGACTGATTGATTGGTTGGTTGAGTGAATGATATTGTTTGTAGTTGGTCATGAAATTATTATGATAGATATTTTGTAACGCTTGTTGTACATAAATAAATGCAATCAACGTGATCCAGTCACGATCTTATTTATCCGCCTTTTGCAGCTGTTTTGTTTGTGCGTATCCTATCTACCGTCTGAAACGGTCCAAAACACCCATGATCTTGGCTTTTGCTGGCCTAGGTGGCAGTTCCTGTGATTGACCTTGCTCAACATCGGAACCTACAACGCCGCTCTGTTGAGGTCCGGCTTGCTGTGGTACTCCCTGTGGTGGGGCACCGTATACCGGCATCTCCATACCCTGAGCTCCTTGGTTCGGGTTCATCTTTGTGGCGCCGGGAGGAGGGGGCGCAAAGTATTGGGGTGGTGCATCGGTGTTCTGATATAGTGGCGGGGGTTCCGCCCATGTGCCGTCCTGTCGCTGTGTGTATTGTGGGTTGGGTGCGTTAGGTGCGTAGGGGTTTTGCGTTTGGTAGAAGGTAAAGTGGTTCTGGGGGACCTGACCATGGCGGCGGCGTTCAGAGTAGGATATGAGGAACTGTAGTGGCTGTTAGTATATGGAAGTGTGTGTAGTGAAGACGAGGGGCAACGTACGCGGTGGTATGAGAGTAATGGTAAGCCCTTCCTCAGACGTTGCTTTGCGTGGATGCGGCCTCCTACAAACCAACCGAAGAATATGAGGAAGAAGGATGCGAGGATTATCCATTTAACGATGATGCCTTTCTGTTGTGTTGTTAGTCTGACGTCTTGTAAAAGCCAGTAGGTGATGAGACAAACTTACGTCTGTGTACCAAAAGCTATCATCGTTATAGCAAGTCCTCGATCCATCGTCATAGTCGACGCAATAGTATCTCTTTGTTAATGAAGGCATGGTTGTGGTGTGTATGTGATTTGATTCTCAGCAGAGAAGGTGGTGTGAGTCGTGGTTGTCTATGTTCCAGAGGGGAAGATCGACTGGTATAAGCCCAGTATGTGCCGCAATCCAGGGAGATGATATGACCGATGTGAGCGGTTAATGGGGCAGCTGCGCCACTTCTACGTCGTTCTGTCCTTCGGTCGGCTAGGCTCCCGAGAGGGAGGTGTGTCGCGTGTGGAGTGGGTTGGCAACGGGTATTGTTTCAGGTGTGTGAGGCGTGCGTGTGTTGGGTTTCAAGATGGGATGGATGCGCGGGCGGCTGTTGAGTGGCTGACCTTCGATAGTAAAGAACGAAGGAAGTGGCTTGGGGAGAAGAAAATGGAAACTTATGGAAACGACGATGGGTTGAATGAGTGACGCAAAAAGAATGACCAAAAAAAGAAGTGACGAAGATTGTGGCTGGGGCAACTGAAGCCTCGAGGTTGGGGAGGTCGGGGGAGCTCTGGTCTGCAAGGGACGCGTGGATAGGAGTGGAGCGCGTCCCGTGCCCTGCAGGGCTGAAAGCTTGTTCCTTGCCCGCCTGGCCGGATGTGGCGGACTTCACTCCGCAACCTCGTCTGTCAAAATGTGGCTGTGGCATTTATTGCGTTGGAACATGCGCGTGAACCATGATGCAACAGTCGGTGAGGTTCAATCCTTTACATTGAAACAGACGCTCCCTTGTATACGTGTCGAGCAGCGCGCGTTTCCGCCAGACAGCAATCATTTGCTGCTGCTGCTGCCGCCGCCACCGCAAGATACTTTCTTTTCTATTACCCGCAGTACATTGAAACGTGCTGTTGGGGTATATAATGAGATACGCAGAGAGCTTCACAGCACTGACAAGCGCACAATGGACATGTTATAATCATGGGTTGGATCGAATTCAGTGCCGTCGGGATCCCGGCTTCGCTAACACTAAAGTAAAAAAGAAACAAAACACAGAGTAAACGTTGTGGTATAATGCCACCAAACGCCTGATTAACATGCCCAATGAAGACCTCACTATCGCACTCTATACTTCCGCCATTCCACTGTAGACTCCCGAGGTCCCCGTATGTTTCGCAATGCTATGTCACCGTGAGGTAGATTCCGGCGTCGGGCGCTGAACACAGAAAACGCCCAAAGGCTTCAACTCCGGTCCCATGCTTGAAGGTCAAATGAAACCGAGTATACAGATAGAAAGGATAACGAGCGAAATGAAAGTCTAATGTAACAAGTTGCGAAGAGATGGACTGGCACTAGCCCCCGTGTTGGCGCGCTCAGTGGGCGCTGACGTGACTGTTGGTGCCTCCCGCATCACTGTATCCATGGGTGTTGCCGGTCTACCAGGTGCAGGGCTTCCGTGGTGGAGCACAGGGTACTGTGCTACTGGAGGCGGAGCAGTGAATGGGCTTTCACGCGACGCAGGATGTGCGTGAGGATGGGTTGGAGAATAGGGCATTGTCCGTGGTGATTGCATCGCCCCGTTGACCATCATCGCGCCATTATTGTGGTGTAACTGGGGAGGTCCACTAATAGGTGGTCCAGAGTACGGTGGCCGAAGCCCTGCCGCTGCTATCGCCGAGTGCATCGGTGCACCTGAAAAGGCTGAATATCCATTCGGCTGAGGCGGGTATGGCGCGTGGAACGCAGGAATGTGGCCAACAGGTGGAGCTTGGAGTGGTGGCGGCCCGTAACCGTTTCCGTTGGGCATGTGGTGTGGGGGATGCCCAGGCCCTGGAGGAATACCGCTATGCCATGAGGGCAACGGCGGAGGCTGGCCTGGTACCGGGCCGCCTGGTAGCGCCCAGCCTCCTACTAAAGCTGCAGGTGGTGGTGGATATGGTGGGGTTTGAGTCGCAGGCAGAGGATACGTTTGTGGTGGCTCCTTGAAGATCGAAACTGATCTCGCTCGCTCTTCCTCATCATCAGCCTTGCCATTTTGTTTCTTCCAATGACACTTCTGGCACATGTATGAAGCTGAAGGAGCAGCGTCCACATCGGTGTTGAGCCGCAAGGTTTTTTGCGCTGGTGAAGTAACAGCTGGTGCATCCGTCATTGGCTGATCGCCTTGGCCATTGCCGTTGACGATTTGGCCTTCCTCGACGACTGGCTTCTTCTCAATGTGACCGTTCATATCTGCAGTGCCGTCGCGGTCGATTGGTCCGTCTACTACACGAGGCGCTTGCGTTGCTGCCGTTTCTTCGTCAAGTTTCCACCATCGTGGGCTAGATTCGATCTCGCAGCGCACGCATTTACGCTCAGGCTTGGACGCAGCTGGCTCGCTTGACTCTTCCTTGACTGATATGCCAGCGTTGGATTGTCGGCCTCGGGCTGACGTGGGTGTGGGCGCTGCGACTGCAGATGCCCGGCGGTTGGCCGGCGCAGGCACGATTTGGGGTACGATGCGTGTCGATTGGTCCACCAAATTGGCTTTGCGTGCGGTACCGGTCAGGGTAAGGTCAGCCTGCTTGAACTCCCGCGCGAACAGCTGAAGCGCAATCAGGTCTGTTCCATCTACGGGTTCATTCATTGGGTGGACAACAGTCTTGGGTGCGTGCTCTTTACACCAGATTGCGGCGATCAGAGTACCCGTCTCTCCGTTCATAGTCACCGTGGGTACGGCATCTCTGCGAGAGACCTTGACTGGGGTCATATCGAATCCGAACGTATATCCGTTACTGTGCGCGCAACCAACATGGAAAGTTGCGTGGCACTGCAGGCACGATGTGCATGCGCCGTCGGTTGTCTTGCACAGCTTACAGACTGCGTCGTACCGAAGTGTTGGTGCTCCTATTCCCTCCACCATGTCGAGACGTGTCGCACTGCTGAACTTGATTTCAGGATGCCACATTGCACAATACACGTGCACCCAATTGTTGTCAGCAGTGCGCTTGAGCGGTTCGCGGGGTACAAGCGGGCGACCCTTCTCTTGTTGCCGAAGGCGATACTCGTCCTTGGCTTTGTCAACAAGCTCCTTCTCCAGGCGCTCCTTTTCGCGATCACGGTCTGTCCTCTTCTTGTGTGTAATCTTCGGTTGCTCGTAGAACTCTTGCTCGGTCTCCTGTTGTGGACAGAGAACGCACTCGTACGTCTTTGAATGGTCAGCATGATATCACAAGTGCCGGAACTGCAACTTACATATGACACGCTCTCTTTCTTGTCATTCTTGCATGGATCGCAATACCACTTGTTTGCCTGTCGCGTTTCTTCGACACCATAACAAGGTTTGTGAACAGTCAACCGACAGGCTGCGCACTCTAGACGCGTACCTTCCGACGACCGACACACAGCGCACGGCAAAGGCTTCAGTTTTGGAGGCGCAGGAACTGGTGGTGGCGTTGGAGCTTTGGGCGCCGGGGCAGGCTTCTCTTTCTCTTTCTTCTTCGAGACGGGCTCGTTGACAGGAGTTGTTGTCCCACTGTCTCCGTTGGTGATGGCGACAGTCTTCTGCTTCTTCTTCGGAGGCTCTGCAGTCGGTTGGGCAGTGGCAGCCGGAACTTCGACGTACTCTGGCGTGCCGTTTTTGGAGCTGGGATCTGACTGCGCGGCGTAGACCTCACGTAGGAGCTCCTCGTCAATGCGACGCTTCCACGCCTTTCCTCCACCTTGCGCAACCTTCTTTGCGATCTCGTCAACATTTTCCCACGTCACTGCATACTTGCGCCATAAATTCGCGCAGCGCAGGCAAAGGGCAACGAGAAATCCGGTTTTGTCCTTGGAACGACCATCAGGAGGTATCATCTGACCAGGTGTCACGCCAGGCGCGCGTCTCCATTGGCGAGAGTGGCGAACTGTGCAGAACTTGCACTGGAAAAGTCGCTTGCACTGGATGGCCTTTGCGCTGTCGAAAGCCGAGTCGTCAGCGGCATCCGCAACGTCGTCAACGAGCCGGGATTGTGCGTCAGGCTCAACCTTCTTGCTGCGTCCCTTTCGGCTGCTGTAAGAGCCCCAGATCTCCCTTCCTTTGGGTGTCTTCTTCCACATGTAGTAATAGCGCACGGCATCTCCGTAGAACATGGTCTTGCTGGTGTGCTGGCGGACGAGCCTGATCTCGGAGCCATATTTTGCCACACCTTCGTTCCACTTCTTCTCTTCTTCCTTTGTCAGCTCCGGTTCTTTCAAGTCTTTCCGCTTGTCAATCTTTTTGACATGCTTCAGGGCTACGTCTGCGTCGTACTGGTATTTGGTGAAGAGCGTCAAGCACCGATCCAAGAAGTTCGTATTGTACGGTTCCACTCCAACATGCGACTTGGCCAAGGCCCTTGCCCGATCCATGTAGGCTTTGACTTGATCTTCTGTGACGTTGGGAGCATTATCTTCTCCTCGAGTGGAGTGTACTCCTAGTGGAGGCATCTTGAACATCAATTCCGCGGTACACTTGGAGTCCTTGTTTGGCAGGTCTTCACCACGACGAACATAACCAGGCGGCTCGTCCATTACCCACTTAGGGCGCTTAGCCTTCTCCGCCTTGTCTGCTTCGATCGCGGCTACCGTCTCTTTCGAAAGCTTGCCTTCCTTCTTGTTACCCGCAGCCTTGACGTAGCGTTTCTTGATTTCTGCAGGTTTGACCAGTTCCACGGGGTGTCCATGCCAGACGTTGACGTTTGCTTGGTGTCGAGGTCCCAGCCGAGAACTTGCGCGAGGGTAAATGGCCCGATCATCGTACTGCAGTGCGTCCTCTACCCGGCAGTGTATGCCAAGATATCGCATAGGCCACATCTTAGCCAAAGCAATCTCAGCCTGTGTTGCAGGATGTGTGTCGACTTGGGAATCAGGGTCCGGTGTGTCTGCATTGGTGTCGCCGCTTGCTTCCTCCTCTTCCTCATCTATGACCTCTTCCTCTTCGGCATCCTCGTGAGTGGTACCCAGGCGGGCCTCCAACTTCTTCTCTTGCGCTCTGCTACATGGGCCACAAGCCCAAGCAAAACCACGAGATGGTTTTTTTAGTAGTGGTGGGCGCACGCAGTTCATGTGATATGTGTTATGGCAGACGGCACACTCAACGGAGTCATTCCTAATCAGGTTAGCTTCGTCACGTGGATGAGCAAATGAAGACTTACGCTGCGCAATATCCAATACAACGCTTGCAGCTCTTGACAGCGCTTGTCAGTTCCTTTACCCGACTCGTCTCGAGACAGATGTACTTCCACCGCTCGTCCAGGGCTTTCTTGACCTTGTCGGGTACGTTGATGACCGATGAGACGGGAATGACATCGTACCAGCGATGAATGAAGCGGTCAAAAACTTGGTTGAACCAGAAGCTGTCTTTAGTTTTGCGGTACTCGTCAAGATCGCCGATTTCGCTCCGATGCAAGATCTGGCATTTTCCTCGTAAAGACGCCAGGGGGCATAGATCAGAGTGCATGGTCGCGTAGACCAGACGAGTGTCATTGTTGTAGCGCTGGACATCTCGTGGGCGATAGAACCAATTAACTCGCATGGACTCTATCCGCTTCTTGGGGTCGTTGTCGACGTGGATAAATTCCATAACCCGGCAGAGGTAGTAAGGCTCGCCGGGCGGCTCGCACACGAGGTACACCTGATCTGCACATCCAATTAGAAAACGGAAAGCAAGCCGCAAGACGTGGCTGGCGTAACGGAGCGACCGTCAGCTGCAGCCAAAGCAAATCAAAACTTACCGTTGACTGAAAGAATTTGGCCATCGTCTGCTTCCAAGTGACCGTCCTTGAGGAAAGCACCCGTGTTTTCAAACGTCATCATGTTGGTCTCTCGCGCGCTGTTGGCGGCTACCATGGCGCTGGCATGGCTTCCGCGCTTCGCCCCTGCTTGGCTTGGCGCAGCGGCACTCGCGTGACTACCATTTGCGCCATTCGCAGCAGCATTTTTGCGTCGTTTGGTTGCGGGCTGCGGTTGTGGTGTGCTTGATTGAGTCGATGCAGCTGTCGCCGATGTGCCGGAAATATTAGGATTCGGCGCGGTCTCTTTAGTGTTGGTTCCGGAATTACCCCACGATGCATTGCCTTGTGCAGAGGCGGAACCTTTCTTCCCACCCACACTGGCAGATTGGCCGTTCTCGGGAGCCACAGAATTACGCGACGGCGGATCAGATGCGTTGCCATTTGTGGCTGCAGCTCCCATTTCGAAGTCCATTTCGGTGTCCTCAGCATAATTAGGTCGCGACCTGCCAGGACGGCCGCGCGATCGCGTACCGTATGACGATAGCGCCTCACCGTTTTGATCTGGCTCTTTTGACGATGCTTTGGACTGATTTGAAGCGACATTGGCCGCCTCGGGTGATGGTTGCACGTCGTCCATGGCAGAAGACGCGTCGCTGGGGTTTTGTGCAGGCTGCCGTACTTCCAAAGAAGCAGCAGGTGTCGAATTTCTGGTAGAAGAAGCCTTGCTAGTTGATTTCGAAGGCGCTACTTCAGATGCAGCGCTGGGTTGATGCTGTTGATTGCTTTGCGCGTCATCTTCGTTGCGCGGTGATGGTGCATTGGACTGGTCCCCAGCAGTCGAAGACGGAGCCTCGCCTTCGCCGTTCTTCGTGTCCGCCATGCCGATTACTGCAGAAGAAGGCAGAATCAATAAAAAGGCCGAGGCAAAGGACGGCGAAGAACCCTTTCAAGGCAGGCGCGGGCTGTCGCCAGGGTTGTCGCTGGAAAGAAGCCCGTCAAGTGCGGATATCAACGCAGCATGAGAAGGCCCATCAGCGCATACACGTGAACTCGTGAAGTAGCAGGTCAAAGGTGAGTATTTTGGGGTTTCAAGACGGCTGGCTTGATGGGGCCGATGGCGAAACCGGGAGATGTTTCGTGGTTAGACGAAAGAAAGCGTGGTGTGGGGGAGAATTAGTGAAGAAGGGAGCAGTGGTTGAAGGAATTCGAAGATGGCGGACTCGCTGTAGTATGGGTCTAACGGTGCCAAGCTAGGCCCAAGGCTACGTCCGTGGGACCTAGGTTCTTTCTTACGCATATCTCATCTTTCTCATCGGTGCTGCTAACAACAGCACCCTGACAGCAGCGCCCGCGCCTGCCCACGCCGTACAGGTGCGTCGTTCGGCAGACGATGGGGGCGCTGATGGGTCGATTGTCACGATGTGTTCTTTTGATGGTTTTTGCACGTTCATGTTCACACGGCTTCATCCTTCAACGATCTCCACCACCCCTGTCTGACATACACCGGCAACGCACCCATCATGCGGCGACTATCTCTGTAATGTGCAGTTGCTCCGCCTGTCTCAGTCATGTCCACATTTATAGGCCAGCGGGCAGGCTACGTCGTTCGCGTCACTACTCGGTTTCATCAAATTGAGGCGTTATATCCATCACACCTCATTGAGTGTGTGCGCCTCGACATTTCATCAGGTCTACTGATCTGGTATCAAGTGCTGTGATGATGGCGTGGGCGCGGCGACGAAGGTTGGAAGGAGGCGATGTATGGTGCAGTCCATCGTCTAACTCGATTTAGCGCCGACAAGGGTCGACTGGTCTTAACGAGACCTCGTCGTTTGGCAGAGATCCGTGGATGGAAAGGCTCGATGCCGAATCTTCCACAGCACACATTGCGTCACACAAGCTGGCAGAGCCAGGACATGCGCTTCATTGCCCGCGCATGTGTCCGGAAACGCAGAGCGCCTGGATCGTTTATTGTTATTCCTTTCTGCGGCCCTGCCACACTAGGCCCATCCGCGTCTGACTCTCTTACACATCCACCTGTTCCGGCCAAATCAGCCTGGTTCAGACGGCCCGATCGTCTCCATCGTCGACTTCCATCTGGTGGTGAAGCTCCAACGCCGCCCATGGTTGTGTCGCACATGTGCGTGCAACCCGTGCGGTTCGCGGGATTACCCAGCGGCATTGCTAGGTCCGCAGACAAGGGACGCTAGCAGACGCATTCAGTCATGTCGTGTCGGCTGCCTTGTTGCCCCCCTTCGAAACACCCAGACACCCAGCCGCACCCTAGCAACCCTCGTCGGCCTCAGATTGCCCGCTCCTCATTCGCTGTTACCAGCACTCGCTAACGTGATCGTTGGCGCACATCAGCTCGCGCACTTGCAGCAACAATGTGGCCCACGCACCGTCTCATGAGCCTTGATGGGATTTTCGCAGAAGACGACATCGATGTCGAAACACGCCTTGTCAAAATAGTCGTCTCGTTGACAATGACTTACGTGTGCGATCCGGCGCACTCCCATACTTGCAACCGACCCTAACCAAAGTGGCCTGTCCGGTTCTGCGCGGAACGCGCCAGTCCCTCCTTCGCTGAGCCTCACTCGAAGTTGGGAGCCGTTCCGAGCGTGTTGGTGAGTAAGATCCGCCAAGTGACCGAGAACTCAGCTTGCGACATCTCACAACACTCTTGCGCCAAGACAGACGTGGAGTGATTGTCGCAGATCAACCTGTCTATGAGCTGCAGAGGCGGAGTCTTATTTCGAAACTGCTCTGGTCCTGCAGGCAAGTCGTAGCTCAAAGGCCTCATTGACCTGATCTCTGAAATTGCGACACAGCTATTCTGTGTCCACGCCTACCCATGTTGACGAATAGGCGATAATAGCAAAGAGTCTTCCTCGTCATTGCTTGCGCTCGCATATCGATGCAGAGTTCTATAGTCACAAGGCTTAAAGTGATCTCAGAACCCAACAGCGTTATCTTATATTTGCGTTATCGGGGCATTTCACGGTCGCTTTCACCACCAGCACTAAGTGGTGCACATCATTTTCCGTCAAGAGCCTGCCCTTTCACAACATATCGCTTTCATCCTTCCTCCACCGTATCTGTTTTTATAGAGACATTCTATGCCTCAGCATAGTACATCGTCAAAGTTTGAACCCAGCATGGTTCAGCACGGCGGTTGGGTATGTGTTAGCATTTGTCTCATCTGGAAGGGGCAGTCTTTAGGTTCTCTTTGCCATCAACTGGGTTCAAAAGCCATGCGATTTGGTCCCGCCCATGAGAACCACGAGAACTCCGTCGTCTGATACACGGCGACAGACAAACTCGGGCAAGGCGGTGCACGCATTGCGAGTCGCACGGTCGTGTACACTGCAGGAGGGCATTGGCCGCAATCAACCGGTGGCTGAAAGATGCTCAAGGCACATTCAACACTCATGACGCTGTCCCTGAAATACGCTGAATCACCAGGACGCCACTTTGCGACAGTAGAGCGCAGCAAGATGGTTATCGGCGATGCCCACGTAGACTCGCCCTCTAGTTTGGTGCATGCGGGAACGACAGGCGCTCGCAGATCGGTCAAAGAGCCATAACCGTGCCGGAACCCATCTGTTTTCTGTCTATCAACGGCGCGCAAAGCCCCTTTTCATGTCCATTGATCGAGCAAGGTTTTCAGCGACAACAATCAAACTTTCGGTCCGAGGGCAGATATAACCACTTACACAGCCATGTCCGCGCCATGATGCTTGTCAATACTGCCTCAACCTTGGGGAGCTGGGAATGTGCTGGTGCCGTTCGTGATCGCAACAAACGACCCTCGGCTTCAGTACCGGTAAGCTGCCTCTTTTGCGGGATGCGCAAAGATTGCTATTCTCTGTTTCGACTGGATACGTTCACGATGCATTACCCTGATTTCTTCAAGGTGTGCGGGCACTTGTCATGGTCGGGGTGGGGCCTTGATGACATCTGCCTGCCGAGGTCAAGCCGCTGACCTGCATGGAAAACGCACGAGCCAGCGCCAACATTAGCTGCGCTAGCATCCCCAGTGCGGATCCCCCTCCTCAACGACCGCAACGCGCAACGGTAGCTCACGTCTTTCACAAACTCATGCGACAATAGGTCATGTACATTCGTTAGAACAGCAGTATGATTGAATTGTTCTGCACATTGTCTGAATTTTGCCGCCAAACAGATCGTATCACCATAGGCTGCTGTCTTCCGCGCACCAGAAGTTCAACATCCAACCATGATATAGCCATTTTCCGTTTGTCTTGACTCCTCATCAACTCCTATCTCATTTCCCACCAAATAATCAACTCCTAGTCAGTTCCAACTTGTCGATGAGAACTCTACAAGGCGAAGATGGCCAAAAGACCGGCGAGACCGGCACCAGCAATACGAGCTGAAGCCTTGTCGGCGGCACCAGTGGAGGCGGCACCAGCTCCGGAGCCAGATTCGGTTCCAGAGGCAGAAGCAGAGTCTCCTGGAGTATTGTGAGTACAAGAGTAAGCAGGATCTACTGCCAATGACAATCATACCTGAGGTAGCAGTGGGGTTGGCAGAGCCGGTAGCAGAAGCAGAGGCACCTGCAGCAGCAGAACCAGCAGCAGAGCCGGAAGCAACAGCGCCACCTGCAGCACCAGGGGCGAAAGCGGTCTGGCTGCTAGGGAAAAGGCTGTTGATGCAGCTGTCTACGCACTTGGCGTAGGCAATGGAGTCGGAGGTAGAGCCATCGCCCTGGTCGCACTTGGCGGCACATTCGTTGGTTGCAATAGCCTGGGAGGCGTTGGGGCGAGCGTTGCCCAAGCATGCAGCCTGGCAGTTCACATCGCCGGCATCGCAGTCCATGGCACAGCTGATAGCGGGAGAGAGGCCGCTGGGAATGGCGGCAGCCGCTGGGGCACTGGTAACAGACGCGTCCTGGGGAAGAGCGAAGGCGCCAATGGCGAAGAGGAGAACGGCGGAGTACTTCATCTTGATTTTGGTTTGGGTTTGGGTATTATTCGAAGATTGTAGATAGCGGTTCGATTGCAGGATTAATACAGATATACTGAAGATGCGGTAAGCGAGCGTGGGAAGTACGAGTACTTGAAGGCTGAATCGGAATAAAGAACGAACGTTGGCGCACACACTGAGAATCCGGGGCAGGCCATCTCGCTTTTTATTGCACTGATACACTACTAGTCATTACATAGGGGTTTGGCGAGTAGTGGCTCCGTTGCGCTTATATTGGGTTTCGACTATGCCCCGTGTGGTAAAGCTTGTCGGGCCGGCGGCGTCATCTGAATGCACGTCGGCTTGAACCTTAGCAGTGGTAGCCTGGGCTGCAGGGGTCCACCACCTGCCCCATCCATCTGCGCCAAAACGCGCTAGAAAACGACGCGTCGTGACATTTACCTCACAACGCCACTAATAAAGTGCCGCCGCCGCCTCTCATACACCAGCGCAATGGACGACAGTGATGAGTACGGCGATGAGTTTGACGATACGGAGTTTCTTGATGCCGCAACGCAGGCCGAGAAAGAGAACACGCCTGCCTTCCCGCCCTCACCAAGGCCAGCCAAGCGGCGAAAGATCAGCAACGTAAATGAGCAAGCGGAGTCTGTTCCGCGCAAGGCACAACGAGGACGTCGCCGAGGCCCTTTCGTATCGTCTGATGAGGATGGAGACGCATTTGATGAATCCGATCAGACGTTGTCTGAGATAGGCAGCAAGAGTGTCTCACCCGCAAAGAGCGTGCCTGCAAGTCGCAAGAAGAGAGCGCAGTCGAAGCAAAGCTATGATGAAGATGCATCGCCCGTCAAAGAGAATGCTGCGGATAAGCGGAAAGAGCGCATTCACGTATCCACCATCAACCTCGAAATGCCAGACACGTTCTATACGCAGCCACCTCCAACAGACTCCCCACCGTGGAAGCCGAGAGGAGCAATATGGACGAAGCCTACTACCACGATTGGCGTGCATAAGCCATCGGCACCTACGAAACAGACCGGGTTGGACGCTACGAGGAATATGTCTTTACCGGGTAGACAGTCAATATCATCTAGACCCGCACCGCAAGCGCCGCCTTCTCCAGTTCTTTCAGACTCATTCGGCGATGTCGACATCGACATTGACGAGTCACCAAGATTACCAGTTCGGGCTGCGACGGCAACGGCAACAGGTGCCTATGACTTCACCCAAGACCTAGCAGATCTTCCATCTGACGCCTTTGCCTCCTCATGCTCATCGCCACAGAAGCAGAACGATGTACAAGTTACCTCGGCCAGAAAGCGTGTGGTTGCACCTCTCACTGGCCTACGACAAACTACCTTGTTCGGCCGCGCGGGCGTTGATAGTACAATTGCCCCATCCCAAGTGAACAAGCGTTACAATTTCGTCGTCGACCAGAAGGCAGAGCCACCCACTCACCACAAGCTGGATCCAGAAGCAATCAAGACCTGGGTGTATCCGACAAACCTAGGAACTATCCGAGACTACCAGTTTAACATCGTCCAGAGAGGTCTCTTTCACAACTTGCTCGTAGCTCTTCCGACTGGTCTGGGTAAAACATTCATCGCAGCTACGATCATTCTGAACTGGTTTCGATGGACGACCGAAGCACAGATAGTCTTTGTCGCTCCAACCAAGCCGCTCGTGGCACAGCAAGTAGAAGCCTGCTTCCATATCGCAGGTATTCCGCGCTCGTACACCACAATGCTTACCGGAGGCGTGTCGACAGGGTTACGCGCAGAAGAATGGAAAGAGAAAAGAGTCTTCTTCATGACGCCTCAGACACTCCTAAACGACTTGAAGTCTGGATACGCAGATCCCAAGAAGATTGTACTGTTGGTTGTTGATGAAGCTCATCGGGCAACCGGCGCTTATGCATACGTCGAGGTTGTCAGCTTCCTCCGCCGATTTAATACGAGTTTCCGAGTACTAGCTCTAACAGCTACACCTGGTGCTGATGTTGAGTCGGTCCAGAAAGTCATCGACGGTCTGGACATTTCCAAAGTAGAGATTCGAACAGAGAACTCTATGGATATCTGCAGCTATGTTCATCAGCGCAAGATTGACAAGCAAGTCTTCCAAAATACGGACGAGATGGAGATGTGTATGGAGCTGTACAGCCAAGCACTACAACCCTTGGTGAACACGATAGCTGGACTCAACGCTTATTGGAGCAAGAACCCCCGTGACTTGACGCCTTTTGGGTGCCAGCAAGCCAAGAAGAAGTGGTTCCAAGAGGTCGGCCGAAACGCCAACCGTGGCCTTCAAAGCACGGTTCACACCATTTTTGCAATCCTCGCATCTATCTCACACGGAATGGATTTGTTGAAGTACCATGGCATGGGACCCTTCTACATCAAAATGAAGGAGTTTCAGGATGAAGCTGCCAAAACAAAGTCCAAGTACAAGAAGCAGATCCTCGATAGTGACGCTTGGAAGAAATTGATGGTGCGTCTCCACGGGTGGATCAACGACGACAACTTTGTTGGGCATCCAAAATTGGAGTATCTGCAGCAAGTTATTCTGGACCACTTTGTCAACGCAGGCGATGGCCGAAACGTCGATGGCGCGCCCCCTTCGCAGACGAGAATCATGGTATTCGCCCACTTTCGTGACAGCGCCGAAGAAATCGCGCGCATCCTTAAGAGACACCAGCCGATGATTCGCCCACGCATCTTCGTCGGACAAGCGCACGGGAAGAACTCGGAAGGTATGTCGCAGAAGGACCAGTTGGAGGCTATCGAAAAATTCAAGAATGGCGAATTCAACACGTTGATAGCCACCTCGATTGGTGAAGAAGGTCTCGACATTGGCGAGGTCGATCTCATCATCTGTTATGACTCCAAAGCATCGCCGATTCGCATGTTGCAGCGCATGGGCCGTACAGGTCGAAAACGCCAGGGACGAATCGTGATGCTTCAGATGGAAGGCAAAGAAGAAAATGACGCGAACAAGGCAAACGACAGCTACCTCAAGATGCAAGAGCTTATTGCAGATGGAGGGCACTTTAATTTCCACGACGATGTATCTCGCAGGATTCTACCACCAGACGTCAAGCCAGTCGTTGACCGACGCGCGGTAGAAATCCCCGCCGAAAACTCTCAGAAAGACTGGCTTCCAGAGCCGAAAAAGGGAAGGCGGACTAAGAAGCCTCCCAAGAAATTCCACATGCCGGACGATGTCATCACTGGCTTCGTCACTGCAGGCCGTATGGGCGAGGAAATTGTACCAAAGGGTCGAGGGAAGAAAGCTGCTACGCCAATATATCCTAGCGACACAGCCTTTGAAATGCCACAACTGGAGTCGGTACTGTTGGACGACTCAGCGATCCAGGATCTTGAGAGGCGATACCAGACAGTCTTCGACGATGATGACGCTCCTATGGTTGGGGGATTGGACCTGAGCAAATTTCCCGAGCGACAGCGCACCCTGCCTTACAAAACCCGACGAGTCGGGCCAGGTCGTGTCACACGGGCTTTTGCCGGTACTATGCAACGCATGCACGATATGGGAACTGACCGTCTGGAAAAGTTCCAGCGCGATCTGCACTATTCTGATTGCGAACCAGACGCAGACGATGGTTTTGTTGTGTCAAATACCGAGGTAGCGCCAGTCATCGCAGAAGACATGTGGGAAGACGATGAACCCGCTTCACCAGTCCTTCCAACTACCAAAGCAAAAGCAAAGCCTGGCCCGAAACCGAAAGGAAAGACACCGGCGAAGCCTAAGGACAAGGTGCCACCAAAAGAGAAAGCACCACCAAAACCAAAAGAAAAGCCTGCGCCGAAACCCAAAGAGAAGGCAACTCCGAAGACCCCTAAAACTCCTGCACCTCGTGGTAGAGCACGAAAAGACAACCCGGCAGCGGAGACACCAACTTATGCCCACGACGTATTGGATGAAACACCGATAACAAAAACACCCAACTGGCGCGTGTCCAACCTCGCTATGGAAGGCAATGAGTCGTCTCCACCACCGACAGACCCCCGTTTCCGCCTACCATCCCAAGCTGACACAATTGGCTCAGACGACACATTAGGTGCGGATGAACCGGAGGACCCTCTGGCATGGCAGAACGAGTCGGAGCTGGCTAGCTTCATCGTTGAAGGGGAGGAGGAAGAGGTAGTGCCTACATCTAGCTTGCCCAGCATTGATATGTTTGGTGTCGGGGCGGGGACGCAAGCAGTCGTCAAAGCTGCCACCAAACCAAAACGGACCCCCAGACGCGAAAAGCTCTTTACCAGCGACATTACGGACGATGATGCAGTTGTCAGCAGCGATAGTGACGACGATGTACCGCTTGTCAAATATGGCGCTGGTGCGAGCAGGAAGGAAGCTGTCGTTCTTGATTCTGATTCAGAGTTGGAGGAAGACCAGTCCGTTGTTCCAAGAAAAAGAGGCAGGCGGATCATAGACGACGACTCGGATGAGTAACAGATGAGGGCTGTGAAGGCTTTGTTAGATGTCGGATGAGGCATCGAATCTATCCTACGACCGTATATATTTAGATAATCCAATGCATGTTCATTCGAACTGTTTCCAATACTCTGGCTCGAAGCCGTCCATTTGTTGTGTGTAAGGTTCTCCAGCCTTCACCCAACCCTTGATGCCACCACCAAGTGTCAACGATGTGATCTGATCATCGCCCTTCTCCGCAATGTGGTCTGCAAACCAGCCAGAGCACCTGGGGCCTCTTCCATTTGATGCGCCTACGATGTGTCAGTGTGTTCGTAGAACCATCTTATTTGTGTTCACAAATGACGATGTCATGTGGTACGCATCTCACGCCACCAACACACGATCATCTCCGCCATGTCGCGTCAACAAGGGCATGTTCATGAGGTGAAGAACTGACCACAATAGAATGCAACGCGTTTGACCCCTGCCCTTTTGCACAAATCGTACAATACCCCGCGGTTCATGTAGAAAGAGTGGGCGGGAAGGTTGAGGCTACCCCTAATAGTCCCACCCTCATAGTCGGTGCGTCGCACATCGACAATGAGCAAGTCTGGAGACGAGATATGTGACAGGGCCTCTTCGCGTGAAAGAGTTGGTGCGGTGCAACGTGGGGCGGGAAAGGCATCGGTCCAACTCCCTGTCGCTCTGGTGGGTTCAGCCATGTCGAAGATTTAGCGGCCGTTATCAGGAAACTATTCTTAGGATACGCGATGCAGTTGTTTTGGATATCTAGCACGCGCAAGTGGATTTGCAGAGCCGCACGAAAGAGTGGTCCGTTGAGCCTCCCGCTAGCGCGTCATGTCAGGGTCCAATTGGCATGTCACCGCCACAGCCTTTGGTACTGGCCACATTGCTATAACCGTGGCCCGATGGACGACTGATTACAATTCCCTGGGATGCCACGGGTCTGATCTAATACAATATATCTGTCCCTTCCACGTTTCACTCTTTTGGCCTCTCGTGAATTCGGCATAGGCTTTGTCTTTCATTTATCTTAGATTGCCTTGAGTCGTAACTTCTTACTGCGTCCAGGGTCTGATTTCCGACTTGCGCCAACTCGGTTTCGACAATCTACACGCTGGCCTCTTTGCCTACCCCACACGTACACTCGGCATTTAATTTACCGGAGAGACTCATATACCGAGGATACGAGTAATTGTAAGTCTCCAACTCTTGCACCCGCTTGGGAGACGCTGTCGCCGACGTTCACTGACTGGAGGACTCAGGTAGCCACACCATACCATCACCACAATGCGCTCCGCCGCGCAGGTGTTCTACCTAGCAGTCTTCTCGCTGCTGGGTAGCTCACATGCTGCGAGCCATGCTACCAAGTCGAGTAGTCCTCCGTCAGACGTCTGCGATGTAAGCAACAAGTCGAAAGCTCCACTAGCGCAACCTGGAGACTCAAATACTAAGACTGCTTTTCAGATATCGCCTGGTGCGATAGTTTCCGACGCTTGCGTAAGCTACAATACCCTTGAACAGCTCAACGAAGCCATACACCCATACCTCCAGTCCATCACGCAAAACACCGACTTCTTTTCGCATTACCGATTGAGCTTGTACAGCAAGAAATGTCCGTTCTGGGACGACGAGAACGGCATGTGCGGAAATGTCGCATGCGCGGTTAATACACTGGACAACGAGGAGGACATACCGCTCGTCTGGCGCGCAAAAGAACTAGGCAAGCTGGAAGGACCTACAGCACAACATCCGGGAAAGAAGCAACAACGGGAGGAGAGGAAACGGCCATTACACGGCAGTCTGGGCGACAACGTGGACGAGAGTTGTGTGGTCGAGTACGATGACGAATGCGACGAGCGCGACTACTGCGTACCGGACGACGAATCGGCGACTGCAAAGGGCGACTACGTGTCGCTTGTAGACAACCCAGAGCGCTTCACTGGATACTCGGGTGTCGGAGCCCAGCAGGTGTGGGAGGCTATATACCGGGAGAACTGCTTCAGTAAGCCTCCAAAGAATGCACCCTCCACTGGCAGTTCATCACCATCTGGAGGATCGCCTTTTGGCGGGTTTGGAAACCAACAACAACTGCATGCCGCAAATCAGTTCCGCAACGTCATGCAGGAACAGGGCAAGAAGCAAAAGGTTCAGTCTGCGATTGCTCACGGTTCTCCTGTAGATAGCCTCGACCCTGTCGAATTCGACGATACCTGTCTAGAGAAGCGCGTCTTTCACCGCGTCATCTCTGGCATGCACGCGTCCATATCCACGCATCTCTGCTACGACTACCTGAACCAGACAACAGGAAAGTGGGGCCCCAACCTAGCCTGCTACGAGCAACGCCTTCACAACTATCCCGAGCGCATCTCCAACGTCTACTTCAACTACGCCCTCGTCATGCGGGCTGTAGGCAAGATCAGGCAGCACATTTCCGACTACTCCTTCTGCTCCGAAGACCCCGAACAAGATCTCCGTACCAAGAACTCGGTCCTCCGCCTCGCCTCCGCCCTTCCCTCAGGTCCCGAGATTTTCGACGAGACGGTCATGTTCCAAGACCCAGACACAATGGTATTGAAGGAGGACTTCCGCAACCGATTCAGGAATGTTAGTCGCATCATGGACTGCGTGGGATGCGACAAGTGTCGACTCTGGGGTAAACTACAAACGAATGGCTACGGCACCGCGCTCAAGGTGCTCTTCGAGTTCGACGAGAACGATTCCTCAAAGGACCCGCCGCTTCGCCGCACCGAACTTGTCGCTCTCATCAACACGATGAATCGTCTTTCGCATTCACTGTCTGCCATCAAAGACTTCCGTCGCATGATCGAAGAGCGCGATGGTTTGCCCAGCGACGTCGCTCCTGCACTACCGGCGACCGACAAAGGAGTGTTGAAGACCAGACTAGCGCTCGAAGACTCTGACGAGCAGAAGCCAATTGATATTCTGACTGGCGGAGAGAAGATCCCAAATTTCAAGCGAGACTGGGACGCGAGGAAAATGACGGCATGGGAGGAGGTGAAGGCCGAGTTCCACTTGGTCAAGAGAACCTTCTACTACGTGTTATGGCAGTGGACGCAGCTCCCCGGGCGATTGTAAGTCATGAAACTACCACAACTTATGGAAACACCAAACTAACAGATGAAATAGTACCAAAATCTTTATTCTCGAAATGAGGAGAGTCTACAACTGGTGGATGGGTTTCGTGCCTGGCCCGAGGAGTTGGGAGATTCGCATCCCGAGACGAGACGAGTTGTGAGCTCGTTCTCGAATCGAGACGCGCAGATGCATGCTGTTCTTAGATCGTACATGTGTTTTGATGCATAGCTTAGGCGTACTTGGCATGATTGAGTTGGCATACATCGACGGCACTAGATGGCGTTTGTTTTATATCTTGAACACGCGCAACGCCAGATACAGGCATATCTGAATTCTTCTTATCGCAACACATTTGCCATGTCCCTTGCGCTATACCGTGCGCGACACGTGACTTCCGCGGCATCCATCGCGTCGTTCCACGCGCAATGACATATCCCCATCCTAACGCCGCGGTCTTACTACCCCACTACGTCATCTCGGCCGACCTTCGTCTCGCCTCGCCTCCTCATTTCCACTCCAGCGTCTCCAAATCTTCCATCCGCGAGCATCCGGTCGTATCGCGTGAATTAAGCTCTGCTAAGCATTGAGGAGAAGCTACACGCCTATTTCCCACACATTACCCAGATAGGAAAGCGGAAAGAGGCGGAAGACAAAGTAAAGAGATTGTTTCGTTGCAAACCGTGCCGCGTTCAGACTACTAAGCTTTTAGTTAAGCTACACGCCTATCTTCCACGATTACCTAGAGGGGTAATGGGTAATCTAACAGCAAGAGAGGGGGTGCGAGAGGGGTTCATCATGCCACAGCGGGGTCTGTGAGGGGTTTCGTCGTCTTGACTCTTGGGTACTCTGTTTTTCTGTGGTACTCAGAAATATTTTGTGGTTTTGGGAAAGGTACCCGATAAATGTTTGTGCCAAGGTGAGGAGAAGACATACGCCTATTTTCTACAGTCGATGCTGGAGTTACTCAACGGGGAAGGAAGGATGCGAGATTGCTGTCCGCGGATGTCGTTGAGTGCGGCTCCCGACGTGGTGCTGCTCGTCATACCTACGGGTTTTGGGTGTTGTTGCGTGGTGGTGATGATGGTTGAGGGGGGCTTTTCGCCTTCGGCTTACTACTTGCGGACTGGACGGTGAAGACGCTTGGAAGTTTCGAGACGAGCGATAGCGCTGCTTTCAATGGTTACTGGTTTGGGTATATGATGGAGTGGAGATTAGGCGGTTGGAGTGAGGAGAACATATACTGCTGTTCATCCCCGGGCTTTTACTGAGTAGCTTGGGCCTGATCAGTTTCCTCTCAGTTTGGTACAACACCCATCAACTGAAACAACGTGACGTGGTGGATGTTGTACCAAATTGAAAGACGAACGATGAGTTACTTCACGGGACACGCAGGTGATGCGTCGAGAGACGCGATCACAAAGACTGCGAAATAATGTAGGCATTGGAAAATGAAGAGAACCTTGTCTCTGATCCCTAGTGCCAATTTCTCAGAATACTTCGATTCGAAATCTGTTCATCGAACGACTGCAAGCTTGCAATAGATGTGGCAGTTTCGACGTTCTCCCAAAACGTAACATGTACTACCAAAACCATCAACCCACCGCTTCTTCCAGCACTCGCCCTAACCTGACCCGATGGACAGTTCTTTTCTAGCCATGGTAGTCTGCATTAGGTCTTCGAGAATCTGCAAGATAAAGCGAAGGAATACGCCTGTTTTCGACAGTTACCCGACTGAGACAAAACACCAGATGCTTAGGTATGAAGGAACACGCTTGTCAAGTGCTGGTTGCTTTTCTGCACATCTAGTAGACTCGTACCGAGATCTGAGCACATGCAAGATGAAGCGAAGGAATACGCCTACTTTCCATGATTGCCTGTCTGGGTAGGCCAAGTGACACACCGATGTTTGGTGTTGCTTTTTAGTGTTTGAGACGTTGGGACGCTTGCGGAGGCGTGTTTAGTTTGGAGAAAATTCGAGGCAGGATGCCGATGGCGATACATTTGTAGCGCAGAGAGGCGATACGAGGTTTGCGAGGCTGATGCTCGTTGCGAGAAGGAAGAGGCGGGGATAGATTGGTATAGAAGTAGAAGTTATGTGTTCCTCAACTCGGCGCGTTTTACCATCGTGCCTGGATGCGACTACTCAGAATGCCAACAAACTGGCAAGTGCATACTCACGAAAAGACACATAGCGATCAACAGAACAAGAGGGATCACACGTGACTTCTGGTTTTGCAGCCTCACCGATGGAAAAATATGAGGCTCTCATACGCCTACTTTCAACACCTACCCAACACCGTAAACGCATCCACTCCCTAAGAAACGACCAAGCTACACCAAGTCTGACAAGCCAAACGCCTACTTTCCACGCCTACCTTTTCCAGTAACTTTTCTTCGTTGGCAAGAATCCACATCGACGTGTCGTTGGCGCGTCATCGAGAAAGAAAGAAAAAAGCTTGCTTATTCCCGCGTAACCTTCCCTTCCGCGGGCACAAGTCGGTGAGCCACCTGGGCAAGCAAAACAAGCAACCCAAATTTTCTGTTGGCATTACCAAGCCTCCGCATCTATAATCTACAGTTTTCTTTAACGGGTAACTATGAGGCGGCCAAGCTTTAGAGCCTGCAATCGATGGTTACTGTTTAGAGAAATATCGGCGAGGATGAAGGCGTTTCACCGTTATTGCCGTATCGAGTGCTGTGATCAATGCGCGAGTTTAGTGAGCGATGATGAGGAAGTGTTATTTCCGACGTATCGCCGAAGATGGTGGGTAAGGCTTGAGAAGGTTTTAATATAACCGTTTGGCGCCTGCTTTCGATACCTACTGCATACGGTAGGTGAGGAAGGTTAGATGCAGGGAAAGAGGAGGTATACGAGAAAGGTTGTGTGGCTGCTTTTGTGGATTGGTGGGTATACCCGTGGACCCGTGTAGTTATGATCGAACGCCTAAGCTACATGTAAGACCACCTCGTACAAGGAAGGAACCAAGCAGGTGCTCTGTGGTTTACATTATTATCATTTGAACGAAAGTCAACCAATCTCTAGGGTAACGTAGACTTATAGGTTATTTACTTCCAATAAGTGTTTTATTCTTGAACGGGCTGAGACACTCAACGGGTATAGATAACCGAGCTGAATAATGGACAATTACAGATACTACATTACCACAGACTAGAAACGTACAAGGAAGCCTGTCTACAAGTAGATGTAGCACAATGGGCTCCCGCCCAGAGTATTGAGCACATCGCGAATCTTCACCGTCTTCCCGTTAACTCCCAAGACCAAGGGCTCGTCAATGGTGGCGTTGCGTGTTGGAGGCTTGTTCGACAAGGTCAAAGTACCGGTCACCTCGTTCGCCTCACGTGGGTGGAGTGTCTGCCAGATCCAGTAGATTCGGTCAAGCATAGCGTGATGGAGCCAAAAGACAGGATCGTTGACAGAGGAGTAGAGGTCGGTTCCGTCGCCACCCATGGTGTAATGACCTGAGGTGTGTAGACCGAGGAAGCCATCTGGGTAGCGACCTTGGATCTCGACCCAGAAGTCGCGATGCGTCTGAGAAGCTCTACCAATAGTTACATTCAGTAAGTTGGCCGTGGTGAACCACTTCTTGGGAATGTAAGGGCTGATGTCTCGGCGCAGGCAATGAGGGTTGTAGTCATTGGTGTCGATGCCCAAATCAGGGAAGCCTTGCATACCAGGAGAAATTGGACCAATGTTCGCCACCGTACTGTACTTTGTTAGCTCTCAGCAAAGATTGAGCTATGCGATGGTCTCACTTCTTGAAAGGGCCGTTCTTGACACACCCGCCTCCTTTTCCAGAGGGGATGGAGATTGTTCGGGCGCCGGCAAGACTGCCGTTGTGTGCGAAGAACTCGCCATCACCACCCAGACTGGTGTCACTTCCGTCGAAGACAGGTGACTTGTAGATATTGTCGGTATGTGCGAACCAGTTCCAGTACTAGAGAAGTTAGACATGTAAGAATCACTCGAAGTGTTTGGGACTGACTGGTTGGTAGCCCTTGTAGCCACACTCGTTTCGGAGGGCTTGCTCGTACGACCAGACAAAGTAGCGGTGCCAGGTGAGGAACAGACCATTTCCATGAATACCCAAGGTCTGGTTCACGTGGATGGCGACATAGTCATCAAAGCGCGTCTTCGCTGCTGAAGCCCACGATTTGTCAGACTTGGCTGGCAAAGTTCGAAGACATTGGACAGCTTTGATGTACGCTTTGCGGTCTGACTTGCTCAGATGATCCCTTCTCGAGGTCAGCCAGCACCAATTCATGCGTGTGGTAAGCTTACCAGTCCCTCCTAATGGTTGTCTTCGCCAAGGAACAACCTTTTGGCGCCCTCTTTGAAACACTCTCAGTTTGTTCAAGCGTCTCGTATGCGCTCTGCTGTAGTTGGGCGAGAGCCTCGAGAGGGTCCACTGCAGGGTCTATATCGATGACTGGACTTGAGGGCGAGTCAAAGGGAACAGCAGCCACAAGGCTTACAGCCAACAGCTGCACGGCGGTTACAGCTTGTAACAGACGCATGGTGATGGTGATGCGATCGCTATGTGCAAGGTCTGACTGATAAAGGAAGTAAGATCTGAATCGAAGTCGACGGTTATATCCAATGCGAATGCAACCCTTGTTCATGTAAGGCCTTCGCCGCAAGCGTACTTCCGATTTCCAAGGACCGATATTAGAAGAAGCGGCTCTGAAGCGAGTCCAGATGAACAGATTGATCAACGCGGCTTAAAATATCGGCGCGCCTAATGAAAGCCTGCATCCTTCTCGCTCTGTAGCCCAAGACTGTCCTGCTATGGGGCCATAGCTTGTACTGGATGCGCGGTGCAGGCTAGCCTGCGACCTCCCTAGGCACGCCTTTGTTCTCGGAGTAGCGACTGAACGGCTGGTAGCGCTCGTCGTGGGATATTGCCATGCGGAATTTTATGCTGCCAAGATTATACCATGTCAGGGCGATGGAAGTGCATGCTTCCAGAGCACGGCACTGTCCGTGGTCGCCCATCGATCGCTTAGAGTGGCGAGTGAACAGCAGTCACGGCGGTGGCCTGTTTTGGTAGTGATAACCTCCCGCGATGCGATACAGAAGGATCATCTGTCGACCTTTTAGCTGGGTGATCTAAAGGCTCCTGAAGCAAACTCGGCACTCCTATGCTCTGGGATCTATAGGATTGTGTTGGATCGAAATGACATATGCATACACATGTAGAATGTTGGTCGTTGACCAATCGGAAGCCGTCCCACATCATGCGACTATATCTGACTGCGGCATGGGATCGTCAAAGGGTCGCGTAAGAGTGGCGCCTTCCTGCGGTGAACGCGAGACGGGACGGAGACGGGAAAGAACCCTTGACAGTGGTAAATGGTTCCTAGTATTTGCCGCCCCACGAACAACCGGTTCACATTCCCATGACCGCGCCGCTGTTTACCAAAAGCCTTTTGTACCCAGATACATTCCCACATCCCACGCAATGTCATCCAACAAGCCCATTGGCAGTCAAGTAACAGATTTCACAGGCTCACAGCTCTGTCTTCGCCTATTCAGCCTAAACTGATCCTTCTCGTATTGCCACCCCCAAGCACCAACATGTCGGCTCGTTTACCATTGAAGCGAGCTCGGCTTTCGATGCAAGTTGAGACCATTCATGCGCGCAGCGGACCATTAGCCACCCGTCGACCCGTCGAACCGTTGCGCTGGGCTGGCTCATATGTGATGAATTCCTACTTTTCGGCCCGATTAATTAGTGCGCGAACGCATCTAGGACCGGTGCATGCTGAAAGTAGAAGCAGGTGCGGGTTGCATGCAGCCTGGTGCCGTCTCTTTCCCATGCACTATGGGCAATATACAGTCGTTCCATGAAAAAGCAAAGAGTGGGAAGGATTCTCCAAGAAATTGGCGCGCATGGATGCCACATCTCCCGGCAAGCGGGCTGACGAACCAACAAACGAGGCCATGTCACCTTCTAGAACACTGCTACCGTGCTTTGAGCTCGTTGCAGAGAGCTCCGTATCCTGCTGGGCATGAAAGGTAAGAAGGGGGCATGTAACACAACATATCCTTGGTTTCGAAAGGATGCATGCCACTTATGTCTTCTCCCTACAACTTCATTTTGCTAGACCCTCATCTTTGCCGTCACTATGGCACCAAAGAACACCGACCCGGTGCGTGCAGCAGAAAGTAATCTAGGATACCTGCTCGGCGTTACCGCGACTTTCCATTTCATTGCACTGACCTTCGTTGGGATGCGCATGTACGCCCGCCTCATCATCGTGAAGGCGTTTGGCAAGGACGATGCCCTCATACTAGCGGCGACGGTGAGAGACTATCTTGAATCATATTCGAACGCTTCTCTGACCGCATGACTTAGACTTGTGTTTTCCTTGGTGGAATGGTGACCTACATACTAGCCGGCCAGCATGGCTTAGGCCGCCATACCGACACTCTCGAGAAGTCAGATCACCAAGAGTACTTGAAGTTGACCTTCATACAAGCTCTCGTCTCTAGTATCGGGGGTATGGCCTTCCTCAAATTGTCTGTCGGTTTTTCACTCCTTCGCCTGGGTGTTCCCACGCTATACACTAGGATACTCTGGTCGCTTATCGGTAAGTCTAAGGTGCTCAAAGAAGCAAATAGATCATGTCTACTAAACTCTGATCAGCATTCGTCTGCCTCTATACCCTAGTGTCTTGGAGTGAATGGGCTGCTGTTTGCAAACCTATCGCTGGCTTCTGGAATAAAGACCTCAAGCCAACCTGCGTGCCTGTGAAAATCCACAAAGGCTTTGCGCTGATGAATACAAGTAAATCTTTACTTCACCACTATTAGTATACTCGGCGGCTGACTAGATCATGCGCAGGCTGCAACATGTTTACGGATATTTGCTTTGCAACCATCCCTATTCCCATCATTATGGGGTTGCAGATGAAGCAGAGAACTCGTATGTACCTTATCTTTGTTCTGAGCTTGGGCTACGCGTAAGTTTCCTGAGTTGGGTAGAGAGAGATTTCAGTTGAGATACAAAAGCTAACCCAAGTCAAGTGCGGTGGCCATGGGCATCGTCAAGGCGGTCGTCCAGAACACGAAGAGAGGTGATCCCGATCAGTCATTGTATGTCTTCACATCTCTACTTGGATCAGTAAAATCGTTTCCTAACGGTATCATAGTACGAACGATATACAATTCTGGGGCTTCCTTCAGGTGAACGTCGGTATCATAGCCGCATGCGCGCCATCGCTCAAGCCCCTTGTCGGTGGCATTCTTCGCCTCCCCTCAACACAGCACTCCAACAGCCGAAGTAATTTCGCCTCAGGCTCGAACGGCCAATCCAGTAAAAGTAGAATACAAAGCAGGATACGCGTTAGCACTCGGATTGAGAGCAAAGGGTGGATCAGAACAGATAGCGATATCGAGCTGGATGAACGAGAGTCCTTTGGCAGCCAGGCTCAGATAACGAGCAACAACAATGAGCGTGTTGTTCGTCAATGATAGATGCGTGCTCTAGCCGGTACTAGTCTTCAAAAAATACCAATACATTTGGGGGTAGTTTTCCTCTATGCGACTTAGGGAAAGGACGAGTATCTTCTTCCATCGAGGTGACTTGCGACGTTGAGGGTTGTGAGGATGCCTGGGTCGAGGGAGACACAGCCACCGCGCAGCGCGATGCGACTGCATCACCGATAGTCGCAGGAGTAAGAAGGCAGGGAATTTATGTCAAATTTTGCAATGCGCTGCCTGTAGATGTCAGGACTGTAATAGATGTCGTGCGTGTGGTTCATGCCAGCAGCGGGCGACCTCGGGAGGACACGGGCACTAACGGGACCCCTCATCCCGCTCACCACTCCCACTCCTACTGTGTCTACACTACTCAATCCTGCCACTCAACAGCATCATGTTCTTTCCAATTTCGAGATTACGACGTCGCCACATATGTAACATAAGTCGGTGGACACGTCATTGTGACGCCGGCTGAGTGTCTCCAGTGGTTCAAGCGTGCTTACATACCTAGGTTCGAGAAGGCATCACAGTCTCACAAATACAAGGGGTAATGCGAGCAAACATGTCCACTTCATCTCGTCTGCGATAACCATAAGCTAGTAGAATTCCTTATCCATTCTCAGTCGACAGTGCGCACCCATCGAATCGAGACCTTAGCCGAGTTCATATGGACGCCTGGCAAGACGTGCGCAGCCTATTTGCCGGAGTTGTACCTAGCGCCGCCCTGACCGTCGTTGTAGTAGGTCGAACCCTGGAAGCGCATTAGCAGGAATCTATCCATCTTACAAGATCTTGACCTACGTTGGGGTTGCTGTAGTAATATGAGCCATCGGTGTTGGAGTAGTGGTAGGAGTTGGAGTTGGAGGCGCTCGAGCCATAATCGCGGGAGCAGTAGTGGTTTCCCTGTAGAGCAACATTAGTAAGAGCATAAGAGTATAATAGGGGAATAAGAGTATACCTGACTGTTGGTACCGGAGCTGGTTGTGGTGTAGCCTCCACTACCGGTGTTGCCGGATGAAGTTGAGCCGGAGCCAGAGTTGGAAGTGTTCTGAGAGGACATGGCAGTTGGCTGATTGATATGGGTTTTTGGACACTTGGTGGGTTGAGTGGAAGCAGAGTTGGGTTTAAGTAGTAGAAGAAAAGAGCAGAGGAAGAAGGGGTGTTAAATGTACGAGAAAGGCAGCGCCCTGAGGAGAAACCCCGCACTTGCTAACCACAACGGCTTACGCTTTCCTTGTCCTGATCTCACGAGCTTCGCCACGCGGAACACGCTACTGCTTGTATCAACTTTTTGACCGCTATCGCGCTGTCACGAGCTTACCAGAAAGGACGGGCCACTACTACAATCCTGGTATGGAGACCCGGCTTTCAGACTACACGACTCACGCGACGGTACACGTTCGTTTATCCTGGGCTCAAGATCTCACTGGCGTTCGAAGGGAATCAGAGCGTCCAAGTTATAGTATCATTCTCAGGTTACCAAGCACGATCTTGGAAGACCCGCTCAAGGAGGGCAGCTACATCCCGACCATCCAGCTTCCTGTCCATCCTTTTTGTATATCACATCCTTTGCATTTTCACCAGCTCAAACGTTGAGTCCGTGTCATCTGTACATGGCATCGTATCTCAGTGCGCCGCTCCGACCTCTTGACGTTGTCGTGTTGGGGATGTCTGCAGGACGGCTTCGATTATAGAAAGTTCCACCAATTCGACAGCCGCCTGATCTTGTTCTCTTCTCTTCTTCACTCTGTACCATGCCACGAACAGGAGGAACCCTAGCACGACTGATGAACCGGTCGCGGAGATGACGATGAAGATTATGATGGTGGCGGAGGTAGTCGCTTGCTGTTTCGCGACTTCTGTGACAGGCGTCGATTTGGGTTCGAAGAGACTCATGGTTGTTTGCTATCGTTTGCTCTAAAAGCTGAGTTCCGATAGGTGTATTGAGAATGACGCGGCGCTGGACCTGGCGATATCTTCCTTTGGTCTCAGTGAAGCAGCGGTGCACTAATGAGCCACTCGCTCATCTGATGTCTGAAGCGTCTGCCGCAAGTTGAAAGTTGAGACTGTTGGCCCAGGCGGCATCGAGTTTGCCCAGATGAGCGCCGGTCCGTCAAGAATGACAACGCCGCGTTGTCGAAGGCGCTTCCACCGCGCTTTGCCGCGTACGTTGGACCAACGGAGAAGGGCGAAGACGAAAAGGATCTGGAAGAGCAGTATGATGATGACGCCGAGGATGATCAAGAAGAGCGGCCAGTCAGGAAAGTCGAGGTGCGCTACTGGTACGCGATTGGATGATGTAAGTGCTGGCATGGTTGAGGAGAAAGCGCTATATTTCGGGCCGCGTGAGGGTGAAGATGCGAAAGGGAGGAGTTTTTCAATGATTGAGGAAAAGTCTGCGCTCCAGATAGCTGTCACGGAGTGAAGGTGAAAGGCTTGGACCGCGAGACCGCGGACTTGACGACGTGCCTACCAGTCGTTGAAACCGCCGAAGGTAGACCTCATGATACGAATAGAAACAACAGCATCTGTTTGCATATTGACGTTATATCCACCACACTCCCCAGATCCGTTTGCAGGCTTCGCGATCGGCTCTAGACTCGTCCGCCGCGCGAGGCAACCGCTTCTCACTGCACTTCCTTCTCTCTTTCACTCTGCCATCCTCCCCGCGCATGTCGTATTCATTTGAACCCGACCCTCCTGTGTTGCAGGTCAACGAGCTCAGCGTTTGCATTTCCGTGTCTTGACTTTTTGTCTTCGAGGCGTATAAGCGACGCCTTAGGTCCGGTAGGAACTCAAGGGCGACGAATAGTCCGAACAAATAAGACATCTTGTAATTTCTGTCGTTTGAAATTATTAACACGGAAGAAGGTGGGCTTTCCGCCCTCACCAAACGACATAAATTTATAGTGCTGCCAGGAGGGATGCTGCTGAACCATGGTTGACATATACGAGTTTTTGGAACGAGCGTGATTCATAAAATAATCTGACGTAGAAAAACCCAGAGATAACTCATGGCAATGAACCACTCACAGTACCCGGAGTTCAATCATCTCTTCTCTAACCCCGTCGGCATGTGCCCAAGAATCTTTTCTCAGGCCTGATATCGGCCAAGTGGGGGGGTTGCATCACCACTCCCTTGGTCTTCTCGACTCCAGTAAACGCTCAATCCGAAGAACGTCGCTAGCGAATCCGCTCACATCATAGTCATAGCCGGTGCACGAATCCGACTTGAAGACGTGGATATGTCTTCGCTAGCTTTTGGCCCGCAATGCACGGCAAGCCCGCTCAAGATTTAGTAACATTGGCTCCAGCTCCGCTTCTGATATGCGGATATTCCAAAACTTCCGCATAGAGCTGATCGTACCAGGCGCTGGGGTATCGAGATCAAGGAGCCATTTCGCGATTGCTTGTACCACAAACAGGATGCTTCTCGCTTTCGTACTCCCTCAGCATCACATCTTCTCCTTCTCCCTCACCGGACTCAAGATCGGTTGAAAAGCTTTGATCTGCTACAAAAGCCATTAGTATACTCCCATCCGAGCCTCCTGAGATCACCCAAACATACCTTGCCCATCCAACCCCCCTCTCCCCGTTCTGCTCGATCTATACCTCTTGCATCTCCGCTCATATCTTCTCTCCTCTTCCCATCCCTCCCCCTACACCTACAGCACATCATCCTCCTCAGCACAGCAACGACCATAAAGAAAGCCATGATAGCGAGAATGTAGTTTACGCCAAGAACAATCACATAGCTTACTCCAAACAAGTTGTCGCGTGTGCAGAAGCCAGGACCCAGATTCCAGGAACGGATCAAGGGGTCGATGAATTGAGCGATGTACATTGGACATTTGTGGAGTGTGGGGTAGTCGGGGAAGGAGGGCGCGGGACTCGCGTGTGGCATATGGAGGGCTGGGTAGGTGATGATGATTTGTGGCATTTTGAAAAATTCAGGTATTTTGGAGGATCGCAGAGTGAGGTTGTCGAATGTGGGTTCTAAAGTGTATGAACTGTGTCCGTCGAGTTGTGGTCCTCTGTGAGACTGAGGTGTTTGGCATGGACGCACGCAGTGTGAGCCCGCTATGCAAGGACCGATGCGCCGCAATTTACATGATTGCCTTAGTGTTACACGGCAGCCACCGGATCTCTTGGATGCGGCGTCGCATTGTCTTAGTTAATGTGCGGATGCTGAGCGTCACTTTATTTGCCATGGCCTGAAACGCGCGTCATTGTTTCGTATACATGGGGATGGCCTTGCGCATCGGCCTTGGAGGGGTAGTTTGAAGAATCAAGGTTTTGAAATGCGATAGATTGTTTCGACGGTTAGAGATGCGCGAAATGCGATGTTTTGGTTCGTTTCTGATGATCCAAAAAAGGTCATGACATACTCTTTACCTAGTCCTTCCATTTCCCGCTCCAACCCTGCCGTGCCGCCTGCGCCGTCTCTGCCTCATCATCACCACCGCCATCCACGTACCCAAAGTATTTTCTAGGCCAGATGTTCAGCCCAATCTTCTCTCCTTCGCCCACAGGCAACCCAGCATGTACCACTCTCCTATCGCCCTTGCCATGCTTATCCAGATTAACCCAGAACACGGCGTTTCCTTGAATCGGCTTGAACTTGATGCCTTTAGATTCTCCTTCCATCCCTCCGTGAGCTACTTTGCCATTATAGAGACCTTCTAGATCGATAGATGACGAAGGTTCGACTAGAGGGAAGGACGTATACCCATCCGTGCAATTGTCGCGCAGAAAAACGAAGAAAGACGCAACGCGGTTGTAGTACACCTGTCTCCCGTTATCCAGAGTGGTGATCTGGTGTTCAGGCCAAAAGTCCGTATGCAGGTTATATTTTTGGCCAGGGAAGTAGCGCACGAGTTGCGGAATGCTGAAAGGTTCGGAGGGGAGTAGCATGGAGCCCATGAACGTTCGTGCGCGATTGAGAAGGCACATGACCAGCGGGTCTTCCATGGGTAGCGGCGCGGACTGAGACGTTCGCCCTGTCACCCGCTGAGTGTTGCCTCGTGAGCGGCTGATGAAGGATTCAGCAAATTCGGGGGAGCTGGGAGGGTCAGTGACTGTTTGCAGTTGTCATGTACAGTCAACAATAGGCGGAAACGAGCATGCGTACCCGAGGCTGATAAGCTGTTCTGCTTCTTGTGCTGACGTGAAGTTGTTGATGTAGATCAAAAGGGGATCGAGAGATATGATCTCAGTCGCGTACTTGTGGTCTGCACATGCTTTGAGTAGGCTCTCCGGACTCATCGGCCCTCGGGAGTTGGCTGTGGCTTCCCATGATGATATGGGCAGGTACGATTGGAGTTGTTTGGGAAAGTACGAGTGCAGTACAGGCAGGAGCGTCTGCTGAGCGCCTGCATAGAGCATGACGATGGAAGCGAGAGGAATCAGTAATAGCAGTAAGACGCCGGTACTGTGGATGTGTGCCTACAAGTGGACGTTAGCCGTCTTCATGTAGAGAGTCTGGACATTCCTTACGAGCCCTAACTTGCCTTTCATAGGCGACGACATCGCTGCGTCCATGCCTTTCTTGTGTTCGCCCTTCTGTCGCGCCATATCTAGATGTTGCGATTATGACTCGGGGTGCCGGTGGTTGCGAATGCAATAGCTACCTGTTTATCCAGCACATGCGGATAGGAGCGCTGATAAATACCTAGCAACAGTGCGATTAGGTGCGGGGTGTGCTACGTACGTGACGGCGGTACCGTTTGGCGGAATGCGCATCGCGAAGGGCCTTGTAGGGTGATCTGTACGTGCTATATGCATATGAGCTGTGCATGACCAAGAATCTGGGGTAATATCCGGTTAGAATACCCCGGTGCTGGCATATGTGTGCATCGTCACACCTTCAAGGTCTTATGCGTCCCATAACCAGACAGATACTCGTTATATCACGCACTGATTTTGAAGCAGAAGTGATGGATATGATGAATGGTGTGCATTGGAGATGCGCGATGTGCAGCTGCGACCGCTATCGTGGGAACAATCCAACTCCATTGCTACTTTTTGGAAAACCACGCTTGCTGTCGTAGTACTCCGAGCGCCTTATTGAATGTTTGTAGGCCAGCTTATCCATCATTGTGCGCTTCGCCAGGAAAGGAACATCTTGCACCTGGCCCTCCTACAGCCACCTTGACAAAAACACAAAGAAAAGCTGACCAGACCGTGAAGGAACGATGGCTTATGTCAGGGCCGCAAGAGAGTTCTAGACTTCATCCTCCACGATCTCCTCCTTGGCGGGATCGATCTTCATAGGGGAGCCGCCGGTCTGGGCCTCCTCATCGGACTCCGTCTTGACGGCTGCGATATGTCAGCGGTCTGCAGCTTAGATCAAGATGAAAAGATGTAAAGTAGGCGACCTAACCACAACGCAGGCTCCAGGGTTCAGTTTTTCTTGGAATAACGAGAATATCATGCTTACTCTCGGTCTTCCTGCCGCGGGGAGTAGTAGTCTTCTTCTTAGGAGAAGACTCGCCGTCAACGTCCTGCTTCTTGGCGGCGCGCTTGCGAGGAGTCTTCTTGGGAGTAGCCGGAACGGTGCCATCGGGGGAGGGGGTCATGAGCTTGAGCTTGATCTTGGCCCAGGCGTTGCTAGCGGAACGCGGATTGCCCATACCGGCATAGGCGGCGAGCTTCTCGTAGTCGATCTAGCGGGCGTGAGTAATGTAACAGAGGAGAAGAGAGTGAACACCTACCTCTGGAGGACCGGACTTGAGGGACTGCATGGCCCATCCGAGGAGCTGAAGCTCGCGCTCGGTGAACTGAGGAGAAGAGCCATTGGCGACGGCGGTGTTATCGTTGTCGGACATGTTGGGTCTTCGGAGTGTGCTTGGATGTGTTGGTGGTCAAGTTGTAAAGAGGTTACAGGAGAGAGACGGACGGTAGATTATGAGTGTGGGAGGATTAGCGCGATGGCAGGATAGTGGAGGTGAGCGCACAAGGAAGGACGGCACACACAGATAAGACAAATGCGGCCCTCACCTCGAGTTTCATGATGCGATACCCTGAAATGAGCACGCGTTATTGGTCGCCTACCATCGGACGCGTACACGTGCGCCAGGACAAGACAAAGTGAAGGTGAGCCGCACCTAGACATCGGAACGGCGCTTCGTGTTGTTCTGTAAGAGCAGATGGTTCAGGGTCCAGCGGTCATGTACACCTCTTCATATGTATTGTGTGAAGGATCTGACAATAGCTCTTTCTTGCTTGTTGTTTCATGAGGAAAAGTGACAGTGAATGTAAACAACTGTTTGCATGCTCGGAGGAATTCCATCTTGTTGTCCAACTCAACGACCTTATTCAACGAATTGCGACAACTATCATGATAAACAGAAAGCTCTGCAGAGCGCCGTCGAGACATCTGTATAAAAATTGGAAGGGTTTGTTCTTTCTAGTCGACGGAAGTCGCGAATGTTGAGTGAAAGAGAGCAAAAGGCCGCTGCTGCCATGAACCTTGTGACATGAGGACAAACACCCTTCCTGGAATGAACAACAGTCCAGACAACGCAGAAAGCAGCAACAACGAAAAAGAGAGTTGGGTTGAGGTTGCGTGAACTGACGCGTCGCGGGGATGGGGTACCAACGCTTGTACTCGCCTGACTCGTGTGGCCCGGCCAGCGAATCGCCGACGGAGGAGCCGCTGGAGATTGAGGGGACAGGGCTAGGACCCAAACGATACTCAAGCAACCCGACCTTGATCACGCCCGAGCGATACACACCAAAGACCCGGATCAGAATCATGGCGGACCCCATTGACAGCGCCCTGTAAGGCTTCCCCTACCCCGCCTTTCGCGTGTGCATAGCTAACAGCCCGTGACAGCGACCTCCTGCGCCGACTGAACCCCAAGGACGTCAAGCGCAATGTCGACCACATTATCCAGCTCAACCCCGCGCTGGAAGAGGACCTGCTCGAATCCGTCGACATACCGCTGACCGTGAAGAAATGCTCCAAGACGAAGCGCGACTTCCTGTGCTGCGACTACAACCGCGACGGCGACAGCTGGAGGAGTCCGTGGAGCAACGAGTTCGAGCCGCCCATTGAAGAAGGAGTCACGCCCAGCGATCGTGTCCGTAAGATGGAGGTCAAGGCGAACGAGGCTTTTGACGTGTACCGGGAGCTGTGAGTACACATTGGGGGAGGGGTAGCTGGTAGAAGCATGGCTGATGCAGACAGGTACTTCGAGGGCGGCATATCGAGCGTGTACCTGTGGGACATGGACGATGGCTTCGCAGGCTGTGTTCTGCTGAAGAAGGGTATGCAATCTTGGGCCTGTACAACCATCACATGCTAATGCACGCAGCCGTCAACCCCACGCCCAAGAGCTCCGGCAGCTGGGACAGTATCCACGTCTTCGACGCCCAAGACCGCGCCCGCACCTCGCACTACAAGCTCACCTCCACCGTCATCCTCTCCCTTGGCACCGACAGCGAAGCCCTCGGCGGTCTTGACCTCTCCGGTAATATGGTGCGCCAAGTGGAAGCCGACATGGCGGTCGAGGATGACACCTCGCACGTCGCCAACATTGGAAAGATGGTCGAGGATATGGAGCTCAAGATGCGCAACCTGCTGCAGGAGGTATACTTCGGAAAGGCAAAGGACGTTGTTGGTGACCTGAGGAGCATCCCATCACTCAGCCAGACGAACCGGGACCGCGCGACACAGAGGGAGATGATCAACAGTATGGGTCGGTAGGAGTAATGGTGTGCATACCAAGATGGTTAGTGTGGCATAGATGATATCAATCGATTCTGGCTCCAGCGGTATACCCACGAGGACTGGACTGTCTCAACCACACGACGGGCTTTTGCATGTGATGAATGGCAGGCAGGGTGATGACCGCCCAAAAGGTCACGTATGTTGAATAGAAGTCGCATTAAGTGGCATGCTATCATTCCGTGCATCGACTGATTTCACGCAGACTTCCGAGATCTGAATGCTCGAGATATGCACAGCAGTCCCTTCTCTGATCCATATGGAGAGGCAAAGTATGGTCTGACAAAGCGACAAACGCTCGAAGTTTCCGAGATAATCTTTCCACAAAAGGCTGGTTACTTCTTTCCAAACACAACAGCCGCTATATGAATACGGACATCCCCAAACACATCAGCCATCAATCTCAAGACAAGACTAGTCAGAGCTATCCACCCCAACAAGTCCAGTGCCCTAGATGACTGGCCCACCCGCAACCAGAGAAGCAACCCGTAAGCGCTCACGGAATCTATCACCCAGTTCCGCTTCGTTGCCGTCAGCAAAGCTAGCCGAGCCGCCATCTGATCGCGATCGAACGTCTGTAACGGACCGTGCTGCCGGTCATATAACCGAATCCCCACGCATAGTCAAGGAGGACGCAGATGGAGACGACATGAGTGGAGAGAATAAGGATACGGTGGAAGGTACTCTCGAAGAGCGTGAAGAGGCAGAAACGGTTGAAGAGTACAAAGACACAACGCCGAACCTCCACGAGATCAAACAGGAACCCGAATCAGTCGCGCCTGGTGTTACCACAGCTTCGCGGAAAGTGCCTATCACAGCAGACGATCCTCCGGCGACCCAGTCTCTGTTTGAGCCCAAGGATGACACAAATGAAGGAAGCGAGTTTGTGTCTGTTGAGGACGAAGCGGTCAAGGCAGCTTGGAAGAAATTCGTTGAAAAGCTGGACGAGCTCGCAGCTGACCTCCTTACTTCGCAACAAGAAATCCTCGAAAGGGCGATTGATAAGGTTGTTCAAGCAGAGAGGGAATATCGCCAGCCTCTTATCCAGGCAGCAGATATAGCTGCCAGAGAAGAAGGCCGCAGGGAAGGCTTTGAACGAGGCTATGCTGCAGGCTTGGAGCAAGGCAAGAAGGAGCTCTATGAGTAAGGTAAGAGCGACAGCGACGTGCAATTCAAGAACAATAGCAATGCGCAAGGCAAGCAAAATAGCGACAAACTTGCGAAGGCTGACATATGACTCTTGTTCAAAGCAATGTAGAGGCGAATCCATAGTTTGTGTCAGTCAAGAAAGTTCATGGATAATTTTGAAAGGAATCACCGACCATGTAGCAGGTAAACAAACGAAACGAATGCTTTTCGCCAATTCAATAGAACCTGTAGTTGCCTATCTGGATGCTGATGCGAAACGGTTAGGGATTAGCGCGGCTTCCGTTCCGTGTCGCACGCGACGCGACTTCTTCGCATCTCCCTTCGTCCTTCCACTGTGCTCATGGATCCTTCCACCAACAGCTTCTTCTACATGACCTTGAATCATCGCCAATCACCGCCCTACACCAACAATGCAGTGAGATCTAGTGCTGCATGTGAAGCGCCCCGAACCGCGCCGCCCGCCGCTTATTGTAGCGTTCGCCCCAACAAGCCATCTCCATTGACCACCCGGGTTTTACCAGAACTTTTCGCCTTTGCGAGACGGAGATGTCGCATCGTCAAGTACACTTACCGGATATAAGTTCTAAGGTCGATTGCTCAAAGCTTGCCGTAGCTCCGAGATTCGCCAATCTCCGGCTATGGACGTGATGCAGATCTTCCGCCCGCAGGTGTCACCACCAACTCCTTCGGTATATTACAGCTGTTATAGTTACAATATGCGGTCATCTCGAATACGGTTGACGGGTCGTTCTACTCGCGACTGAGGCCTTGCGAACATTGCATCAGGCATAACATCACACCTTCTGGTGCACCATTGACAGCTGTGGCAATGGCTTCGCTAATTGTGCAAGAGCTCAACAATCCGCATCATGATTTCATCGTTGACGGATTCCCATCTGGCCCCTGGGTGAAGCCTCTCAGCTTCGGGGGGCTGGAAGTGAACGGGTTTCATCTAGATGCCCCCAATCTCACGTCTCGTGATCCCGTAAAGGAGCTCAATCTACATTCGAGTAGAACCGCGGCTGATCGTCGCCCGTCGAAAGTTCCTGTACAAGACGCACATAGGAGAGTCTGGTGATGAGGCTCAACTAGATTGACTGCATGACGTGTTGATACTCGCTATATAATGAAGGTATCATTGGGCTCAGCTGACTTAGAGAAGTGTGAAGATATGGCTCATGACCGGAGTCACCGAGGTGTACGCGTTACTTCAAATTCGAGTTGCAGTGTGGCACAGCATTCAAACCTTAAAGCAGAACGGACGAGACGTTGCATGGATCAGCACTCATGTCTTGCACAGAACCCGTACCAGGGAATCTGGACTATTCTCCCTACGAGTTCGTATGCCATAGTACGGCACGGTATTGGAAAGCTTGCGCTATTCCACTGTCATCCCCGTATATACAATGCCTCTGTTAAGGGGATGTACCTGGTCAGCAGTAGAGTGGCGTTCGCGTTCCCTTGGATTCGGCAACGATTGCTCTTCCAGTGCGCAAGATGATAGATGAGTGGAAGTTATTCTGGGCACTGCATGTCTGATGATGAAGATAGCCTCAGACCACGGTTCATGGCCCCCCACCAACGCGCCTACACACCACTTCGCTACAATCGGGTTGTACTGATGTTGGAACGCCTTTGTTGGGTGACATTTGAATACAAAAGAGAGATCAATGAAGGTCGAACTGAAAAACGCATTCTTATTGCTCAAGCTTCGTCTTGTATACAGAGAACTGCATGATGGCGAGATTTCCCATTGCTTTCATCCTACTTGGAGTCATACGCTGCTGTTTGGCATCACCTCACCAACATGTCGCGAGAGGCACTACCGCTTTGATACCAAGCGCGACTTCTGTATCGCCATCTTCAACGCCACCTCCGTCTCCGGCAGTCGACCAACGGCTGCACTCTAAGCATGTCAACGACTTCTACAGACTCTACGGCTGGCTCAAGCCTGGAGCGTCCGTATCAGACAGCGAGCTTCCGAAAGCCATACGAAAGATACAGAAGAAGCTCAAAGAGCCTGTCACGGGGGCTTTCAGCGATAAGATGATGGACATGATGAGCGGGCCGCGTTGTGGTACCGAGCAACCTTATAATGCGACGGATGCAGAGGACGCCTCGGGTGTTGAGCCACGATATGTACTCTGGGGCCCGAAGTGGGCGAAGACGACTCTGACATGGCGCTTCGACAGCTATACGAATGATCTATCTACAGCGCGCCAGCAGAGCACGATCAGGTAAGCAAAGCTTCCACATTTTGGGTGTCCTCTTTTCTGTATGCTATGGTGTTGACCTTCGACTTCCCTCCTACCCTCAATTTCTACGATTATGTCTTCCAATTTGATACTCCGTGTCGCTAATGCTATACAGTACCGCTTTTGCCCAATGGATGAACTACATACCCGTTAATATTGTACCTGCAGCGTCGAACGCTAAAGCTGACATCTACATCCGCTTTTCTCCCCTTGGTCGAGACGATACTCGTTACGGTTTTACGTCCATGGTCTCTGATGGTACCTCCATGTCGTCTGGGAATATCAACGTAACCTTCAATGACGATTACCAGTGGACGGACGACCGCCTCTTTGGATACACAGCTGTTCACGAGATTGGTCACGCTCTCGGGATGAGCCACAGTGGCGTCGAGGCGGCCATCATGTTCGCCTACTACGACGGTAGCATACGCCCTATGCATCCAGACGACAAGATGGGTATACACAGCATCTACGGCTGGAAGAGCCCGACTTGGAATCGTATTGATTCAGGCTCAGCAATCGCAAACATGATACAAGTCACGTCCAACACAGCTACTGCTTCGGCTAATGACGGTCTCTACCAGATGCGTTCATCTGGGCAGATTCTTCGCTACTCAAATGGTGCGTGGGTAGTCGCCGACAACAACAAGGACACTGCTCAGATCACTGGTGCAAACGGCAACCTCTACCAACGACACTACGACGGGGGTACCTTCCGCTGGACAGGTAGCGCATCAAACTGGCAAGCTCTTAGCAATACCGACTCGAACGTCATTGAGATTGTCGCCGCAGCCGACCAACTGTACTCGCGACGCAAAGATGGATGGGTGGCCCGGCTCTCTAGTACTTCATGGCTCAGTATTGAACAACCCTCCGCTCCAGGCTCCAAACAAATAGCCATCACCGACGATAAAACGCTTTGGAATTTGCTTACGAACGGGTATCTTGTTCGCTCCCTGTGGCCTCATAACGCTGGCCAATGGGCCATCGTCGACGACAACGCAAAGAACATCGCCATCGCAGTTGGTGGCAATGAATTCTACAAACTGCAGAGCGATGGCTTAGTAGTGTGGTTGAACACCGCTGGTCCCAGTTGGAAGACTATTGAGAAAGCTGGGAGTGTGAGTATATATGCTGTAGGCGTCCTGTTGTATAGTAGACACGGCGATGGAACTTTGTGGAGGTATACTGGGACCCCGGAAGTGTGGGAGATGATAGACAATAGGAGTGGAATGGCTGTTGGTGTCGTGGGTGATCGGGCGGGAGGGGTTTGGGGGTTGTCTAGTACGAGTGAGATTTGGACATTGGTATCGTGAGCTGTGTCGTATCAACCCATGACTGTTTTGATGGGACCAAGATATGGCTTCGCTTTGAACAAACCATAAGAAACACCAGAAAGTAGCTAAAAATGGCAACGTAAACATCTTTCATAACTTCGAGTCGCCTGGGGAATTTGCGTACTCTTCTTCTTCCTGCCGCACACCCTGCCACATCTCGGCAACACGCCATAACCTTTCCATTCCGATCTGCTCCAGTAGAGCTCCTCTTCTCTTTCGATACATCTCATCATACCTCTCATCATCAACCTCAGTCACACCATCTTTGTCAAACACCAACATCTTGCCATCCTCAACCCACCCTTCACCGTGGATATATCGGATGAACTGGTCTTGCATAGCTCGTGCTACCTTCCTGTCGTTATCACTAAAGTAAGGGTCGAAATTCTGCAAGAGATACGCAACATCGAGCTCGTGGGCTGCGAGGCCCTTGAAAGGACCATCTATTGGGTTGGGAACGTGGAAGTGGTATCGTGAAGCTGGTTTTGGTGGTGAGAGGGCTTTCCACCCGCGATATGCTGCCAGCGCCGGTAGGTAGAAGCGGAGTTCGGATGCGAGTACTAGCAAGCGCTCTTCCTTGACTTTCTGTGATACGTTGCCATCGAGATGATAGAATTGTAGGAGTCCGAGCATCTCTAGTGGAGAGAGGTGTGTTTCGCACGCCTTGAGGAGGCGCCCAAAACTGTTGGGCTGGTCAAGGAGTCGCCCTTTTAGAACGAGGGCATCGTGCTGCGTGTCGCCTATGACGAATTCCTTACACCATAATGGCTTATGTATGACGCTTGAGCCGTCCATTATTGACTTGATTGTGACTTCTTGTGTGAAGAACTGGCCGTCGACTGTTGCGGCGAAATGCTGTGCCAAAGGTAATCTCTGAGCTAACTCTTCCGCATCGGTGTCTAATAAGATCCTCCTTCTGCTCTCGACGTCGCTGCTGTCGATCTTCAGATAGGCAGACTGGTCTTCGCACATCTTCTGATGCCACCATTTGTTCCTCCACTTGCGCAACGACGCCTCACCACTCATGATGACAACCCGCTCAAAGAGTCCCTCGTTCCCAACGTTCGCGCAGAGGAGGGTTGATAGCGAAATCGCTCCTGCCGACTCGCCTGCGGTAGTGATGTTGTTCGGGTCGCCTCCAAAACCCGCAATATGCTTCTTGACCCATCGGAAAGCCAGCACCTGGTCTTTATAACCCATATTACCGGTTGCGCCAATCTCTTCGCTCGCCAGGAAACCAAATATGTTGAGTCTGTATTCCATTGAAACGCCAATGAAGGGTTTCCCAGTTTCTACACCCCGCTCGACGAATCGACGCAGATCATACTGTGGCCAACTATTTGCTCCGATGCTGAGTCCACCGCCGTGTACCCATACGAATACTGGAAGACCTCGTCCTCCACTCTTTGCATCGCTCGAAATATTCTTGGGCACCGTGACAATTACGTTCAGGCAGTCGAACTCATTCATCTTCTCTGTTTCTCCTTGACCATGGCTGCAAGGCAAGACGGCATCTCCGACCAAAGTCAGATCCCATGCTTGAGCCCCACGCAACTGTGGACATGATGGACCGAATTGCGTAGCGTCGAAGACTCCGTCCTCGCCAACTTCAAGCCTGTCGTCTGGAATCGAATCCTTGTATCG